GTTTGTTTTTTTTTTTTTGTTTTTTTTGGATGTTTTTCTTTTTTTTGTGTTTTTTTTTTTGTTTTGTTGTTTTTTTTTTTTTTTTTTTTTTTGTTGTTTTTTGGTTTTTTTGTTTTTTGTTTTTTTTTGTTTATTGTTTGTTTTTTTTTTTTTTTTCTGTTTTTTTGTTTTTTTGTTTTGTTTTTTTTTTTATTTTTTTTCGGGGTTTTTTTTTTTTTTTTTTTTTTTTTTTTTTTTTTTTTTTTTTTTTTTTTTTTTTTTTTTTGTTTTTTTTTTGTTTGATTTTTTTTTTTTTTTTTTGTGTTGTTTTTTTGTTTTTTTTTTTTTTTTTTTTTTTTTTTTTTTTGTTTTTTTTTTATGTTGTTGTTTTGTTTTTTTTTGTTTTTTTGTTTTTTTTTTTTGGTTTTTTTTTAATTTTGTTTTTTTTTTGTCTTTTTTTTTTTTTTTTTTTTCTTTTTTTTTTTTGTTTTTTTTTGTTTTTTTTCTTTTTTTGGTTCCAATGTAGAGGTTTATAATGATTGTCAAATTTTTCCGTTTTACATCAGGCAGTGATTTAGACAGCAATTAAAAACTAAGAAGCACTGGACAATTGTTTAGTTTTAGTATGTTAAATGAGATACGAGTTCAAATATTTTCCAACGCTACCACGACATTATGGTAATAAGACTGAACCGGATAGCCGAGTTCAGAATACTGCTTGATTAACCACTCGAACTATCCGTTATAAACAGACTAGTTCACATTATATCAGACATCTGATTCACAACCGATACATAGGAACGCTAGACAATACTGTATTCCACAATTACACGCAGTCACTCTCCGTGAGTCCCTAAATCATTAAAAAGAAATGAAATAAAATATATAATAACCAATAATCTGAGTCCCTAGTTGTCCGCACTCAGTGACGAGTCACGTGTACTCTTGTGGTGGCCCATTTCGATGGCAGGCTCACCATTTTTAGTGTGTCGATTTACTGCATGTTCTTAAGCTCGGTAATTAGCTCGTCCAGGCAATCGTTACAAAGTAGCGTCTGACGGCTTATAAATCAGAAGATGAACTAGAAGTGTTGAATACGTTTATTTTTGACACACCACAAAATGGGATAGCAGATCACAAGCAGACCCGTGCAGGCACACTAGCGAGCGAATGAACAGGCGAAGCGCGTTGGAGAAGGCTAATGAGCCAAATCCGAGAGATAGAGCATGACTAAGAATATATAGTCAGACAAAAATAAGACAGACATGTGACCAACGAGATAGGCATGCACATGAATAAAAGCGACGAATGGTTGACAAGGTCAAAAGACAAGTGGGACAAGTCACGTAAGCTCATACAAATCAGACAATAACAAGAACGAATGGTACATATAAATTGTTGCTCTACAAATGGCTTGGTTAAATAAATTAATCTAAAGGGCTTGACCAAGTTAGATGTAAGCGAACTGGAATATATGTGGAGGCACTACACTTTCATTACCACATACTAATACGTGAATCCTCAACAGTACACAAACACGACCTCATTAGGCAGATAGATATAGTTCAGATCATTCAGGTTTCGCTGCTGTCGTTTATCTTCTAGATCGTAAAACCAACATCAAATGGTCTAAATTTCCAACTTCAGTCGATACACAATATTGCGCTAAAATTCTCCTCCATTGCTATTGTTGGATAAGTGCATTACATAAGAAGTAGTTGAACTCTAATGTTCATGAAATGTTCTTCGAAGTTTGGGAATTCTCAAAAATAATTACTAATAAGAATATAGTTATTTTTGTGCGATTTGTATTTGTCTAAAGTCAATTCATAATTTGAAGTAAAGTAATTAATCTTTTATATCATCTTCTAAAACTTCTACTTAGTTGTGAAAGATTTTGACATTTGATTGAGTATCACCACTTTTGAACCCTAACTAGTTTGTATGTTTCTTAAAAAAATCCCTTTGATATTTACTGATTTTTTAGAAATTATCAAGTAAATAATCCCTTTGGCTCATACTAAGTTAATTTATATCAGGTCACACTTTATACTTAGCTTCAAAGTAGATGTCATCGTATTTATGGTAATATATTTACATCAGAATACATGTAAATATGCACTATATTGATAAATTCAATCATCACAAACTTTCTTCCAATAAAAACAAATGAAAAACGGAATGTATTAGCAAGTTAATATGATAATGAAGCTCATAATAACTGATTAAATTGACGGGCTGAAAATAACTCATCCGAATTAGCACAACATGTGTAATTAAAATTGACATTTAGCTCAAAAGATGGCAGATTATCAAAAATTATTTTAAATAAGTTAAACTTTATATACTCTAATTTTATGAATTATCAATTTTCAATGGATTCTGTTATTGGAAATTAGAAAAAAAAATCATCTATGACAAAAGGAGCAACAAATTAGTGCGTGACTCATACATCATGTTGAAAATCTTTTACTGGTTGTAATTATTTAGAATAAAATAAATTAATTAGCTCTATGTAACTTAAAAGTTGATTTCGTTCAAAAGTCACAAATATATTAGCAGAAAATTTGATAATATACACTACTAATACTATTATTGTAACTATGACTAGGTATAGACATTTATTTATATGTACATTAATTTAACCTAAAGTCAAATCGAACAAATAAATCGGTCATCTTAAGGACAGTTAACTTTAATTCATCTTCTGATGCTTATTCATTTTCTATTGTTACTTTTCAATGTTCTACATTCTAGTAGAAATTTATTTTATTGATATTATTTCAATCATTCCCCACAAGTGTTCTCATTAAACAAATTCAATTATATAATAATAATAATAATCAGTGTATAATCTTTATTTCATGTAGTAAATATTAAGTTTTTTGAAAAAGAAATTATATAAAGAGTAAAAAAATTAAAGAATAATTGAAATCTTTATCGAAATTCGAAATAATTAAAATAACCAAATAAAATTGATTCTTGCAGATGTTTATGGCAAGATTATAATCAATATTTTTAAGAACAGTGTTTCATTTGCTAAATGTTTTAATGGTTGCTTTGCAACAAATGATCAACTCATTCTTAATTAAATATATTTTCTAGTAATGCAAATATAGTGTAGATTATATAAGCTTTGGCAAAGGAAGCATATGTATTTTCCATTTTCACTACATGTTTACAGATTTAAATTAATTATAATCGTTTCGCTCATTTGAAAATAGATAGTAATTTTATGAATTTCTGATGCGTTAAGCAAAACACGAAATAAAGTTACTGTTCTGGAGGTTTGTTCAATAATTGTTTAACAGTAATTTTAAACATTAACTTAGATCAATTGGATAATGGACTATACGTTGAACCGTTTAACCAGATATATTTTAATGGCCCTGTTTACACAGACTAAACCTATTTGTGCGACAGTAGTAATAAGAAGCCGAATAAGGATTCATTTGTATGAGTCTGTTTCATGTTGCCGTTTAAACAGACAGATATTAAAAATGAGAGGTCGGTAAACTAAGCGTAGAGGGGAAGGTCGGCGTACCAAATCCTTTAAACTACTCACTACAGGCGTCAATCTATCTGAAAATAGACCATGCATAGTAGGATAGAGAGACGGACTTTGGATAAGATGATAAGTGACAAACGTACATATAAGATGCATACAGGTAGAACTACAAGTATGTGAATATAAGACATATGTGGGCAGAGGGTCATAATTTCCCATGAAAAGAATAGAGTTATTAAGATAGTCAGCACGATCCAGTTGTTATATGCTCAGTTATTAAAGTCTGTTTAAAAGCTAGGAGGCATCATACAATTGCATGGTGGTACTAAACGCGACAATATGTTTGTGAGTGCAAGTTGTTGAAGAGCTTGAGATTGTAATGAGTCGACTGTCCAATGCTTCCTGGTGTTTGACAATTTTCTAGCTAAAATCAATTATTGATGAAAATCACTTTTGTATTGAGAAATTAAACTATTCTCTGCAGCCTATCAGTATGAATGCTAGTCCTGATTATTTTAAAGTCCTCAATCAGAAATTTTGGATCTTACTAAAAGACTCGGAGAAATAATATTTAGCAGCTTTATAAACTGATATAATTTTACATGAAGATTCGATTACTTCATACCGGTTTCTACACTACAAAATATAAATACATTATTTTCAAATGATACCTCTCCATACTGAAGAATTATTTCCTAAAATTGTTCTTTATTCTTATCCAGTTAACTTGTAATGAGTATAAATCCACCGTAATCATTCCTTTGAGCTACAAATTTTTTCCACAATCCTAAATTATGATTGTCAAACTACAAGTACAATTTTTATTTTTCGAATTCTCTTTTGCCTATTAGTGTAAACTGGAAAGCACTTCACAAAAAGTAGAATATATTATAAGCGAACGAATAATCTGAGCGCATATTTTCTGAAAGATAACCTAACAAGATTTTAAATACATTACCCTAAGAGAAAAGCAATTATTCGATAAAAAAGTACTTTCGTAAAATAGATTCCATAGTTTTAAGAGTATAGTTATTTCATGCATTTCTTTTGCATAAATGGAATAAAAGATACAGGTCATTCAGTTAGATTTATCAGGACATTTGTTTCTTCAAGGCAGAAAAAAAATTTAATCGGTAGGTTCTAAGAAGAGTTAGTATCATATGCAAATGAGCAGATTTATATTTATGTGTGAACATGATTTTCATAATTTACAAATCAAAAATGGTAAAGATAAAAAATGGATAAAACCAACAAAACTCGAAAAGAATAAGGAATTACTATTCTTATTTCATACACTGAATTTAGTTTAATAACCACCCAAAGCCAGGAAGTAAAGTACAACTAATTCTTTCAAGTATAGAATTCCTCAGACGTGCACATCTACGACTCCTACAGGATTCGAAACCAGAAATTTTAAACCCGTAAGCGAGCTTCCAACCTTTCACTAACGGTAAGGGTTGTCGATTGCTCAGTATCGCAAACTACTTGTAAATGTAAATTGTTATCTGAAATCTTACTGGTTTGAAGTACCCTCGACTAGGTCTAGGTTTAATGCTTTGAGAGACTTTGGACGGGTATCGCTGAAGGGTTAAATTCTATGGTTAGACAGCAGTTCAGTACTTACTGGTTTTCGACGGTTGCCCAAATAACATTAGTCCTTTACGTAAAACTACTTACTCAACAATCTCTATAACTACATATTAAATAAGAATTAGTCAAAGAAAACTTAATTATCATTGAAGAATATAGGAGTATTAAAAAGTAATTTTGTTCTTGACTTTGACATTATCTAATAGGTTACATCGCATACTTTGGTAGGCTCACACACCAAGCCTTCCCACTTTGTGACAAACAAATGATTTAAATTATTGAAAGAAAAATCGTACCAAGACAAACAGTAAGCATAAAATCAGTTACTTCTTTTACATGATAGGCATACATTTATGTGTAAACTTGGGGGTTCAATGTCCGGCATTCAACAATTATTTCCGAAAATATCTGGGGAACTATAACTTACTGAGACTTAGTGATTTAATGCTACACTAGTAAAAACATAATTATTTGATGAATTAATCCTCTATACTTAGTTAAGTAAATTTCCCAGCTAAAATTTGTCTTTTTATCCTGGATAGTCTAGAGCTAAGAAAATTGTTAGCAAGTTGTTCACGCCAAGTTTTAGAGGTAGTCAATCCTTATGATATTCGTTTATCACTATCTTTAATGGCTCAATCAAACTTCCGAGTTACCACTTTCTTAACAGTCTGTTTATTGACATTAAATTTACTGCTTCAAATTTATTTTTATTTATTAATTATGCCCGTTAAACATATCTTCATATGAGTTTTGATAAAATGCTTGCAATCTATTTCTATTCTCATCATTAAGCAAGTCAAAAAGTACCTGTTCAGTGATCTACATATTTTCAATTATGTTTGCCTTGTGAAGGAATAAAAGGTTGTTACTTTAGTGTTCATATTTGAGATATATTCGATAATGAAAATAGATATCTTTGAAGGAAGGCTGGTCGTAAACAGTTATGGATGAAAATAAACGGCTGCTTATCAATGTTCAAATTTATTTTACATAGTCTTTGTATATCCGTAAGTTAAATGATTGAAAACAGGAATCTTGTTTCAGTCTTTTATAATGTAATGTGTATTAATATGTCGAGCCCACATGACTTATCTGTAATGTGATGGCTTATCTCAGTCAGTCTGTTCTTTTAGGGCCATTATTTACACGTCTTTCTACCTTATCTATTATTCGCTCATGATCTTCTTTGCTTTTACTTGTATGCGTTCATTGCTTACTTTGCTTATCACATGTATATCTTATTTCTGTCTGACTATAAATACTTAGTCATGCCTAGTCACAATGAAGTGGCCCACTCGCCTTCTATGCTTCACTTTAGTTCGCTTCGATTTTACTATTTCCATTGTTATGCCTGTTTGCTTACCGAAAGTTTGGAATAAATTTATTCAAAATAAATAGTATTGCGGTTCTTATTACCGCCGTCGTACAAAAACAGTTAGCCGAAATGTAATATATGGAAAATAAAAGGAAGATTTCTTTCATAGCATATTCAATCGTTTCTATAAATTGAAGCCAGATCCCATGCCTTAGAAACTTACTTTGTTGCATTAGTGATCCTGCAGTGAACCAAAAACTATTTCTCATTGTAAATTGATTCTGTATTTTTGGATAGCATGGATGTCGAGCATACCATTCATATGGTGAAACACGTCCAATTAAAAATAGTGTTAAACTAACAACAAAATAAGCAATTCCAACGGATATCCAAACCTTAAACAAAAAAATTGAACAAGTAAATATTGTTGATAATAAATTCAATAGTGAATACCATTATTTAATCTGAAGTAAAAGTATGATATAATCTCTATAATTTTATCAAAACTTCAACAGTTTAAAAATCTCTATAGATTATTTGAAAATAAGAACTATTTAAATCAACAATTGCTTCGATAATTTCATCATTAAACTATACAATATCGAAATGAAGACATAAATAAATTGTAATTTCAATTTGACAATATTGCTCTTATTAATATACTGAGCTTTTCTTAGGATAGAGTCTAATTATAAAATTATTGAAAACAATTGTTCGCTCAATGTATATATTTTCAAAAATTAAAATTTAGTTTTATTAATAGGTCATTCAAAGAAAAGGTCTTATTTATGAATTAAATATTTACATTGTTTGATATAAATTGATAAGGAGAGAAGGAAGTTAGCTTACAAATACTTAAACACAGGCTTAAACTTCCAAATGTCAAACGTATTATAGAATTATTCATGTCCTACGGAGAATGATTCACTGTGTAACGTTAACTTTCTCCTTAGTTTCTGATTTACAAATCTAATATTTTAGCGATAAATTCTGCTATCTATGAGAGGAGATCAATTTTTAAATTTCTATAAAAAATACTGCTATATAAACATGAATGCATTTGGTAATGAGTGCAACGTAGATGCTGTATTTTCAATCGTATGGACACGTTTTCTTTTGAGAACATCTGGTACAGAATAATGAAACTTTATATCCTATGAACTTCCCATAAATTCATTCAGTATATGTAGTTGAACAAACACTGACATTTTAGCAGTGTTCGGTAGAACAAAACTGTTTGAAAATCAAATGATCGACATTAATTAGTAGAAGGTGATGGATGGAATTTTATATTTCCCTGTATTCGTCAATAAAATATATCTATAGCTATAGGCAAATAGTCACTTTTATGTTAATGATCAAGAATTTCATTCGGTTATTTAATACAGTTCAAAGAATATAGATTCGTAATTTAAATCTCGTTTTTTTGATTCTAAAAATATTTAATAAAGTACATTACACTGAAATGTTTATTCATTTTAGTGTACTGGTCATATTGCAGATATCAGTAAATTTCAAATTTTACTGTAAACTAATATGTATTCGGTTGTTTGAAACTTCTTATTACTGTTTATGAACATAATAAATCTGGACTCAGTAGCTAAGCAGATAAACCGGCGGAGTTTGAAGCGAAGAGTACTGGGTTAAAATCCTTAAGTGAATATCAACACTTGGATGCATGTATAATCAGCCAAGGGATCATACATTGAACGAAACGCGCGTCCTGAATTCCGCTGCTGACCACCATTCTTCTTTGTTTAATAATTTTTCTATAAAGTCTAGATACAGAGGCTAGTAGTGTTTATTTATCTATGATTTGTAATTACCTGCTCAACATTTATTAAAGACTTCTTTTAATTTATTAATCTTTTGCTATTTAGACTGTCATTTTGCTTTATGAATATGACGCCATCAACCATTCATCTCCATGTTGGGGTCGTTAGATCCCCAGAACTCACTTGGAAAAGGTCCTAATCTTGGATTACGCTTTTGCGCATAAGTTGATTAGTTGACCTTGAGCTTACATTTCCGACTCGGAAAATCCTTGACTGTCATTGGTTGATAGATTATTTTAGTACGCTATTTTTGTGGCTCTCCCAACGACGTTTATATCTTGCATAAATAAGCTCGATTTGTGTGCTTGTCGACCTCGTATTTTCTGGGTGCTTGTAGAATACACTTTCTACGCCTTATCAAGACTTCTTGATATAGTTAGCCGGGCCGAAGACAAACGGATTAGAATAGCCTATCGTGTCACTGCATCATTTGACTTCGTTCCGTTTACTGAGTAAGGTGAACTCTTAATAGTTTCAAGCATATCAATTGACGAGCATATTACTGCCTTTCTGAGTAAAAACTAGATGTTAACGTCAGGTTTCACGTACACATATCTCTAATAAGTGCCAATAAACATAAATATTTACGACCAGTGGGTTTTTCTAACTCTCTTTAACAATCAAACATACAATTTAGTAAATTATCATCTAATTTATTTGATTTTTATCAAAGTTTGCCTGTAGCTAGAAGTGGGTTAGCTGTGAGCCTGTTATATCATGGATTACAGGGCAAAAGGAAACATGGTACTAAGTATAAAGAGTCAAATAAAGTAGTTCTGCATTTACTATATTGCTACACTATCTACTGACTAGGATATTTATAAATATTATGAGATAGTAAACAAATGAACCAGTGTAAGATATATCTTACTGTCTCATTAAAATTACTCGTATAATAACTGTTTCTAATAGTTTTTTTAAGATCCTGGTGAACGCTTAATTTCTAGACGTGAAACAAAAAGATTTTGAGTTTGATCCACGATGGTGTCATAAGAGCTCAATGATGAGGAGTCTCATACTACTATCCAACAACTGTTCAATGCTTTCAGGTTTTTAACGGTTGTCTAATATGGGTTAATTCATGATTTCAATGTATTCAACAACTTCAACAAAACTCTATACTAAATAGTATTGTTTTTTATAGAACATGAATGAAATTCAATATTTTTCACTACATTTTTTCATTGATACAACAAAGTACTTGTTATCAGATCAACTTAGGATATCCTACATTTTTCGTAAGATGATTGTTTCGATATACATAAATATGACAGTTTTATTTTAGTTGATGGAACCGATATCAGGATGATACTTCAGAATAAAATACATTTACATCAACAAATATTAAGATATTAGTCAAGTAAAAATGATTTGTTTATTTTATTCCTGTATTCATGTAATCGAAATATCTTTACCTTTACCGGATATCCGATTAGTGAATATAAAATCATACTGTTTCTTACATCTACATTTAGGTAAAGGTAATGAAAAAACTCTTGAAGAAAATCATTTTCCATTGAGATAGGTTACTTGAAAGCAGATCTTTAACTTATCGCAAAAGCCTATAAACGAAACTAAATATTTCTGTGACAGAGTTCTCATAGTTACTTGAATGAATTTCTGTTGATAGAACTAGATTTCCAACAGTTTTCAGAAATTTTTAATCTGCATGCTTTTTATCAACTGATGTTATTTGATTTATATGAAGTCACTGAGAAACGACCAATTTTTGATCATTACATTTCGCCGGTGACCCCTATGGGAGCATAGGCCACTGACAAGCATTCTCTAACCAAGTCTGTCTTAGGCATTTTTCCCACTTCTAGGCAGTTGCTGAGCATTCTTTTCATGTCTGCCTTCAATTTTAAGTGCAATTTCATCGGTCTACATCTTCTTCTAGGCCTTGAAGATCCCAAGTTAGGGATTACCTCGTAAAACAGTGGAGTAATTTCCACTATGTGTCATATCCGCCTCCAGCGCATTTTCGTAATTTACTTCTCAGTTTCAATCCGCTTCGCTCTCTACCATAGTGGGCTGTTGCTCATGGTGTCTGGCTAACGGATTCTTAGTATTTTCAGTAGACAAATGTCAATAGACACTTGTATCTTATGGATGATGACCTTTATGGTTCTCCGACTTTCCACTTCATACAGTCATAACTGTTTTGACATTTGTATTGAAAATTGTCACTTTGGTATTGGTTGAGATCTGTTTTGAGTTCCTGACCTTGCTTTACTAATCCGTGCCTTCACAACTGCATCGGATCCATCCTGTTTATCAATCATACTAGCCCCCAGATATGTAAAGGTTACCACATCCTTCAGAGCTTCGTTGTCAAGTGTGATTTGTTTAGTGCATGTAGTGTATTAGAGGATCTTGCCTTTTCCATTGTGTATATTGACTGCTACTACTGCAAAGGCTATTACAACACTGACCGTCTTCACCTGTATTTGTTGTTGTGTATAGGATAGAAGGTTTAGGTAATCTGAAAAGTCCGAATCGTCTAGCTGCATCCTAGCTGTCCATTGTATGTATCGTTTGCTTTCCCTGATATGTTGAGGTTCATGTAATCCAGCCATCACAAGAAAGAAAAACATTGAAAGGAAGCAACCCAGTCTGACATCGGTCTCTGCTTAGAATGAGCCTGTGATCTGCCCTGCATGTATGATTTCGCAGTTTAGTTCGTCGTAATAATTTTGTATGAAGTTGACTATCTTCTCAAGTACATCATAATGGGATACTGTTGACGATATCAAATGCGTTAGATACTTAGAAATGATTAGCTTGAATCCTTGAAAATAAAATGCCTCCTAAATAGCAGTCACTAGTGAAACATATATTCAATCTTGGTAATACTATTGCGGTAGATAATACTTACAATGTGGTGCAAGTAGTGTGCATCGAAGCTTCACTCAGAAGCTGCTACCAGAGAGAGGAAGTCCTAGAGATCGAACTGCATAGTGCGATCAGAGTACATTAAGACCAAAAGAGATTTTGAGGAAGATGTTTAGTGATGTGTTTGAATTGCAAACGATATTTGAAGAATATTTGTATATATTTTACAACTTTATTCAAATACATAAACATATATATTCATACGTTAAACAAGTACTTAAATTGAGATTTGAATTCACATCCCTGAACATTAACAGACTCCATATTCTACAATCTTTAGGAGAGCTTGTATTACTATGTTAATAAAGGTGGTGTTATTGACTTTGTAAGTCAGTGTTGTGCTTCAGCCTGACCAACTTATGACAAAATTATTTAAGATTCAGACTGAGTCTATTACTTGGCATTCTATACAACGTGCTGATTATTGATGAAAAACTACAACTTCAAATCACTTATATGTTCCGGGTTATCACAAAAATAATCAGTTTAGATGTCAGGATAGAACAGAATATTGGTTAAATCAATATTACATGGTATGGTCACAATATTTTCTTCAGATTCATAAATATAATTTTTTTTAAGCGAATAAAATTTTTGTTCGATATTAATTTTGTAATACAATCATACTAATAGGGTTAACGGTAGAACATGTTTCCTTTTTCTTCTGTCTATGTTAGTTAGTATGATAAATCTAACATCTCTGGAAATGTGAAAAATCCAATAATTTAATTAACAGTATTAATCAAGTCATGCAACGGTCACACAGGGGTTATTAATTAAAGTTAACAAAACTGATATATTTGTTTATGAAGAACAATGAAGTTTGGTAATGGACTTTCTTATTGTGACCACTTGACTCACAAATTAGAACATAACCTATATCCAGAACGTGTTTTAAATCAATGTAAATGTTACGCTTGCACAGATAATAGTTAGAATTCTCAACTAATAAAAATCTAGTTCAGGAAAGTTGTCTAATGAGAGAAAACTCATGTGTGAATTTAGGGTCAAGATGGCTATGGTTGAAAATAAGTAAAATGAGGTTCAGTTTATATAGTTATGTGTCATTGTCTATGTGAGTATTTGGTTAACATTAGAAGATTAAACAGCAATTATTAAGTTCCGAGGACTTTTCTCCAGATATATTAAAATATTTTGTGAACGACTGTTTTGTTTGAAATCTAGTAAGTTTTAAATTTATTTCAGGAAATGCTTTTAATACGTATTTCTTTAAGTTGTTTTTAAAGTAATTTTGAAAGCGTCTCCAATTATTTATATCAGCTAGAAGATGTTTTTGAAACCTAAGCAATAAAAATACATATTACCATTATCTCATATGGTTGCTAACAGAAAAAACGCGATATCTAAATATATTACGTCATTCAGACTAATCAAATCCCATATTTATTTGAACAACATATTTTAGCGAACACTAGTGTTGTCACTTAGATCTTCATCAGGCTTTACTCTAATTTACATACTAGGACGAAACGGCCGTCCAGTGCTTCCAGGTTTCTAATGGTGGTCTAACAATGATGATTGATTAATGATTTCAAATGTGTAATATTTATATGCATATATGAAATTACTAAACCAATCAAGTTAATTTCGGAGTCAGTGATGACAGTAGAATAAAAGAAACGAATCGATAATGTGATGATAGCTGTACTGGTTGTGACAAGAATAAGAAAGGCTTAAATCAATGTTACATAATAGAGAGTCAAATGACTTTGAATATTAGACAGTGGAATGACATTCATTGGAATTATAGATTGCCTAATGAGAACTGTTCAGATTATTGGGTAGTGAGTCACATGTTTGAAAAAAGTGAGAAGGAGATAAATAAAAATGAGCGACCAGACAAGGTGTATGAAAAATAATGATAATAAGCAAATAAATAAAATCGTTTCTTAAGTCCATTTGAGCCAGGAAAGAGATGTTGGTGTCACAAATTTCTTATGGAAACAAGCACTTGAATTATTAATGCGAATCTCTAAAGCTTCTGCAATGTGTTGGATACTTGACTAAACCCCATAAGGAAATCTAGTAATTATGCCGTAAATTACTATCTATAGATTACACGACTACCATCGACCAAGTGTGATGGAACGGAGACGCGTATTGTTTTGATTATGCCCTTTCCTAACCACGAAAAGAGTTGTTCGTTAACTTGTCGGTTCAGTTGTATGTTTGTACACCCAGTCAGCGTTCTCCACTGGGACATCTGAATTTGGAGATACACACGGATATGGTAAATACAGGTAACTCATTCTCTACTTGAAGAATCACCAGAGTTAATTGCAATAAACCTGTTTGTTGCTTTAGTCAGTCTATCTCACTAACTATATCTCCGTTGAGTCGTAGCTCCAGGAACAGAGGTTACCTATTTTTCATCGATATTTCTATTTTCCGGTTCATTGTATGCAGGTGTTTCTTCAGAAAACCTTGTGAATAATTCATTTTAATCGACATGTTATGAATGAGCTCCAGCTCTTCGTTTATGGTATTGTCTGATAATATCTTTCTTGTTCTACTTGCAGGATATCTAACTAAGTTTCTCTTGTAACGAATGAGTACAAAGCTAATGAAATGTGCGTACTGGTTCGACGAAATTTTTCTATGCACTACTATTGACAGAATCATCTTTTCTTTCTGGTAAAACGGCCAAAAAATGTCATCTGTTATCAAGCTCCTCACTACATGTAAGTCTAATTGCTGAGTGTATATTGGTAAACTGTTCCAAGGGTTTTTCCTTAACAATGTTCTGATCCACGATAATAAAAGTATCATCAATGTAACTGCAATAAAAATCGAACTTATTAATAACCTCCTTGCAAGGTCTACTTCTTAGTTTTTGGAGAAGGAAATTAGCAAGGATAGGACTTAGAGGTGAACCCATTACTGTTCCATCAATTTGTCTATAATATGTTATGATCGACACATTGAACGCTCATTATGCATTTCAAAAGTAAATCTAAGGGACTAACCTTGGAAATTCCAATACTGGTTTGTATTTCTGATCGTTGTAGACACAGAAAGTTTATTGTTTCAGTTAATGGTACATCGATGAACAGGGGATTAACATCTAGAGATATCATCTATTTCATAGTTAAATCCAAATGTTGCATCACGGAAATGAAACTAAAAACGTATTTAAGGCTTTTCTTCATGGCTAATCTATGAAGGGAATCTAGAATTCGAGCTAATCATTTTGCAATCTTATGGTATAGAGAATTATACAAATCTAAAGCTAGAGGGAGAGGAAGTCCTGGTTTGTGGACTTTGAGTAAACCATAGAGCATTGGAGTGTTTGATGCCATGGGTTTAAGAGAGTCATGAACAGTTGGGGTAATTATCCCCTTACTTCTTAATTCTTTAAGCGAAATAGACAGTCGCTTTTCTCCCCTTATATTTATCTGCTGAGAGTTTCTGAGTTTTTGAAATTTAGTCGTATCGTTCCCCTCGTCCTCTTTCTTAACCAGGGGAAAATGTAAACCCTTTCAAACCTACTTGTTTCTGCTTACTTCCACTATTGTGGTTAGAACTTGTGATGTAGTAAATTATGCTGATATATATATGTCCTAGGTCCTGTCTTGTATTGTTCATGATTAGAAATGAAAGATAATATATTTTCTCAGTAAATGTTGTCTAATCGATCACCTGTTTCATTCTAAATAAAGAACACCGAGAAACCAATTGATCATATAGAACATAGAACAGATATCTCTTTTTAGTAAATCGTTTCCTAACTGCTATAGGTCTGTAATAAAAAGTGCATTCCGAAATCTAGGACTTCTATGCAAATTTGCCTAAATGAATCATAAATTACTGTTCCTATTTTTAGATCTTTATTAGAGTGGTCAAACAAACTCACCTCATTTGACAGTGGTGCTGTGAATTGTAATCCAGGGTCTGAATTACTTTTTTGTATGATAACACTTAGAGATAAACTCATAAATGGTGTGGTGAAATCAATTACACGTTCTCTATCATAAGTTATGGTAAAAGAGGCTACTGCAAGATCTGCTTTCTGAAAAGAAAAAGGAAACGTGGTAAACAGAATTAAACTGTACACAATGTATTTATATTTTTCAAAGATTGCTGACTGTTAATTTTAAATTCATACCACAAAAATAATAAGTCTTTAAAATTGCTTGATGACTCACTGAATTACAGTTTTCTACAAGTAAAATTATTGTATAAAAAATCTAGACAATTGAATGAAATCACTTTCTCCATTTACAGAATACTTTTAAAACTTATTTTATTACTTTAAAAAAATATTATTTACTTGTTATGGTAAATCCTGGTTTCCAGTATTTACTAGTCAACACTTCATCTTGCTGTTATTTTCTAAAAATAATTATTCGTTGGTTCTAACCTTTCAGCAGACAAACAACTAAATTAAATCATATACCTCTTACATTAGAACATGTCAGTCATATCACTTCGTTCAAGATCGTCATGAAGAATTTACAACCGAAATCTTCTTCGGGAATTACGCCTGCTGAAAGTTTTAAAGTTGAAATAAAGTTTTAAAACGACTTTTCTTTAACTCATTTCAATGAGAAGCTAATGATTATTAGCTTTGATTTACTATTTAACTAGACGTTTATACTTTTAAATTTACTCTTCATGAATAGATGACTTTATAATTGCATATAAGTTAAGTTAAACAGGGTAAAATTTGAGTAGTTTGAACATTTTTTAAATGTAAAATTTATTTCAATTTTATTTTTTTCAATGAGTTAAATGAGAATTAATGAGCTTGAAGAAGATCGATAATTAAACTGTCAACTTGAAGACAATTATTAGTTTAAAACCAATGATTTCCATCTAGTGTTGAGTGTTTTTAACACAAACAATTAGCCTTCAAGTCAGAATTAAATTGTGATTTATAAGTTTGAAATTTTAACTCCGTCCTTTTTTTAACTTGCTCCTAGATTATTTAGAAATGAATTGAATTTTATGTTTGCTTTTTTACCTCTTTCTAAATGTTTGAGTAGGAATTTTCACTGAATAAGTTAAATCTATCAGTTTCCTAGGTTGTGTATCTTATGAGAGTCTATATTATTTGTTTTATAAAACACAAACTTTTAAATCTAGTTAAATAGGTAACTCCATAATTGTCAATTAGTTGGAGTTTCAAAACTTTACACTAATACAAAGACATGAAAATCGAAAATCAAGATTGGTAAAGTTCAGTAAACGCAACAAAGAAAATAACTTAGTAACACTAAGTCGTAATTGAAAACCGAAGTCCGAATGATAAATATATCTCTGTATTTCAGTTTATTTGAAGACTGGAAATACTGATTCCAGTTATTCGGATAATACCACTTACGAATACAATATGTAGATTTGCTTAAACATGACATGAATTCTGTTAAGCTTTGAAAACGGTATGATTATACTTCGTAAATCGACAGGTTTACAGAATAGATTCTCATTATTACCAGCAAATAAATATTCTCAGCATAAAGCTTTTCATTTTTAAAGGTATTTTAAGCTACTTCATTAATGAGTATATAAAGTTAAGAAACTACTGATTTTACTAGTTACATAAAGAAATAATTTTGATTTTTTCACTAAACTCATTATCGAAAGGTGATATTTAGTGTTAGTTCTGTCTTTAATATCAGATATAGATGTCACTAAACAGGTATTTTGAAGATTTTTAAAAAGAAAGTCTTCTTAATTTAGGCTAGTGTTTGTTAATTTAATCGACTGACATAATCTATTGATTAAGCAACAATTAATCTTCCCTAACAATCTAATTTTACATCAGTTAATAATTTAAGTCAATATTTAAGATTATGTAACATGACTAGAATATAACGAAAGATTCCTTTTAAAGTAGAAACTATGTTTAATCACTATATGGTGCATACATCATCCCTAACCAACGCCAATATACTATGATTGTCCTATGTATTTTGTCCCATAAGACTACTGAAACCTGTTGCGCGAAATTGCTTATCTTGTATTTGCTAATTCTTTTGAGTTTTTCTGGTTATTTTTGAGGAGTGAACTCATCACATGTAACTTACTTTATAGACAAGATCACCGATTAGTCCATCCCATTTACCTTTACTTTCATCAAACGTTCCGAATTTTTTATCACTGACAGGTTTGATAATATAATCAAAATGATTCATTTTGCTTAAATGTTGTAATAGTTCCATCGCAAATCCTGTCCATTGATCATTGCCTTCAAGATGTACACCTTGACGATATGGTTCAAATATTACAAATGGAGGATCCTAATATATAATATAATCAGTTGTAAAATGAGAAAAATTAAGTTTATTTAAATATTTAAGAAATAATTAAATTATTAAGCTAATTAGCTTCAAAAAGTAATTATCAAAACATTATAACAATAAATGATATTTGTTAATGTTTACTAGTGCACCAGTTAGTTAATTTAGGTAATTTCATTTTCATTTCTGAAAACGAACAGTTTGCATAACACTCACTGGGTATGTTCATAATATTGAATCTAAGATAATGATATTGTTCAGAATGAGATTGAAAGCTTTGCAGGCAAATCGCCTCGCTCAAACAGGACAACACAGCAAAAAGCATTAATTAATAAATGAAGCTTATCTGTCCCATAGATTAATGGGCTGGATATAATTTATCAGTCAAATAATTGACATTATTATTCACCAGATAAGATTAAAATCTTAACCACTTTTGAAAATTATATTTTATTGAGAAGTAATTTTCTCAGTTAGATATCATGCATTGTGTAAACTTACTTCTATAGTCGTAACAATGAATGTTTTATTCATATACTTCAAACCACCTTGAGGAAATGAAGTTTCGACTGGTTGTTTATAGACAAATCCTCCCTTCAGTGACCAGTCAGCTAGCTGTAAGAGAATGGAAGATAATATATGCTTGTTTTTAGCATGCTTAACACACGAATAAATAACAGTTCTACACATAAAATAATAATACTTAGACCTAGAGTAATATTTTGCCAGATGAATATAAGTACGAAATACCAAATTAAGAAAAATAATTTGAATTGATAAGCTGCATATATTACATAAATATTAAAGCTGCTGGAATAAACAGCTACACATGCAAATTCGTATCACCGTCTAGACATCTTGACATATTATTTTCTGTACATTTAAGTAAATTATAAAATGAATGAAAATATTATTTTACTGAAGGAAATGAGAACTTAGTTTTCACAGTAATGATAATTATGTTTGTTCTTTTAGGCTAAATTGCTGACAGTCATAAAAATGAAAGATGAATGTATCTGTAGTTACTTTTCATGTTTTGATTAGCATGGTTGGGTTTATTATTTACTTGAATGAAAGAATAAAATAATAAAAAAAGAACATTACATAAACCTAGTAAATACAGGAATCAGTGTAACATTATAGGCCAAAACTATCTGATTGTTGATTGCTAACGTCATTTTTGCACATAAATCTTGTTATTAACAAATCAATCAATCCGTTTATTCCATGATTTTGACATTTTCAGTTTTGTTTTGAAAAAGTACATATCATATAACAGTAAAAAAAAACATCCGATATATTGAAGCTAACAAACGTTTAATATTCCTTTTTTATTGGTGATGAATTATGGAGTGTGGTAATAGCAGCAGGAAAGACCAAACTCATTAAATGTTCATTATCTTGCAATAAATGAACAAACTCTGGTCATTAAATAAAGATATGTAAATAATCAAACATGAGAATTCTTTAAATATTAAACTTTAGATAGGTAATTTCTAGGCATTAGATTAGTAAAGATTGTAGTTAACAAGGATTTTTATTAGTCAAAGAAGTAGATCTGTAATGTTTTGCAAGAAATATAAACTATACTATAAAAACTCGATAGTCCATAATACAATAAACTGTACTTGCTAGTGACTATCAATTCAAAGTTTCAGTGAAAAGCCATATTATATATACATGTTAAAAACAGTTTAAAAGTTAGATAATAATCATTAAAGAGTGTTACGCAGTAGTGTGAATGAAAATATAATTGAATTCCAGTTTTAAGGAGTTGAAACTATCGTCCACGCTACAAGATTTGTGTATTCTAATTTCAGCATCTTGGTGGTTGGTCGTAAGTTCGTATAAATATAAAGTTTTAAACCCTGATATGATGTAGCTGCATATGAGTGACATGAAATTCAGGCAATATTTACTTCATTCAGCTGAGTAAATAGAAACATCTATACTTTTTAAAAAACATTATTATAATGGACTAGGTGAAATCTTTTTATGTTGATGCATCTATATAAAATTTGTTTATTAATTATGTCAAGTTATCATTGAAAGTTCCTATGTAGGTACTTATGAACTGTTCTTTATATTCAGGTGCCTTTTCTAAACTAACCAGTAACAGAATAAAAGAAATATTTGACAGAAAATTAATTTATTACTCAATGGCAACTAATGAGCTAGGAGTTAAAGATGTTAATTACGTGAATAAGCATAGTTTTTTAAACTTCCAGGGACTATATTATCACTGAAGTTTATTAATATCTTTAACTAAAGTTGATATGCAGAAAGTCTAGTCAAAATTCTTATGTTATGAGAGACTAATAAGTTATAGTTCTTAACATGAAGAACAGCAAAGTTCAAGCCGTACATATAGTTTCGTCATTGTTGAAAATGTTAGTGGTCAATGGTATATATCAATATATACCAATGTTTGAAGTGATTGGTATAAGGTTCAGACTACAATGTACGCATCACCAATGATATTCAGGTATATCTAAATAACAATTCCTAAATAGGAAGAAATCAACTTTCTGTATCCAACTGCGAGACGCGATTAAAATCTACCAAATAAGATGACCGAAATTTATGAATATTAGAATACATGGAAACAACTGACAATTCAGTAGGTAGCTGTATATGTTACTTAAATAGCACTTTTATATCATAAATACCTAAACCTAATTCATCAAGAGTAAATAGCCCAGTTCCATTAATCTCATGTATCGCTTCATTCAAACAGTATGATTTTTTGGTATTCCAGATGTCAGATATACAATTTACTTAGAATACTGAAGCTCAGAAACTATATTATAATAAAAAGTGTACCAATTTGTAATTTATTCTAAAAGTTATTTTTTAAGCATCACCAATTATTTTCTTTTTCTGCCCAAATACTATGAACAGTGTATGACATGATCTTACTGAATGTAATTTTTATGCAGATTCCGCTTGATAAGCATGCAGATATGGAAACAGTTGTGTCTATTATCAAAAAACTAAGTATAAATATTTTTTTTTCTTTTCAAACTTGTAAAGTTTGAGCTTCTTGTTCCTGTGATATTTGAATATTACATGAAGAAGATTATTGATCCATACATTCAGAGAATATCTTTCCTAGTGTTAAAATTAAGAGGACAACTACTAATTTACAAAGTTTTATATTGCCAGTGATAAAATCATATCAAACAGAATGATTTCTTTTATTTACAATCAATTTTCATATAACGTTTTTATTTTCAGATATTATGTACTGATTTGAAAAAAAACACACTGTTCATAATATTATTTCTTGAAATAATATGAATTTGCTGTAAAATCTATGCTTACTTGAGTATATTAAAAATCTTGTCACATTTTACATAAGTTTTCTAATATGTATTAAAAAAGAATAATCCGAAAAATATTTACTAATTTATACATAATGAATATAATCTATTTTTAAGGAAATTTCAACAATATTTCAACAAATATTTGAAAATGAAAATAATTAATGTTCTATTTATTAGGCCATCATGAAAAAACTAGTGTTAACTAAACAGGTATAACTTAGCTAGAATTCCTATATAACACTATATTAATTTACAGTCTAAGAAATTAACAGTAGTAAAAGTCCTGAAACTGTTCACTACCATAAGTTATATGCTAGAAAATTCAAATAAATTAAAATTTATGACTGGTCCTCTGGTAAGATAAAGTAGAAATTCGTTGTTCAGACTAGACAATTAAGCGTGTTTGTCACTAAATAATGCTCAAGTTATTCTGCAATACATATTTCGATCATATAAATTTCTACAGTATATGGGCTACTGCGTAGTTTTCACCATGGACTGGTCTTAGTTACACTAGACAGCTACTGAATCTTAGATGAAGACTCCTCAGCCGATTGACAGTCTCATGAAGGATAAAAACCATGATTATTGTATCCTTAATATCAAAGATAACTAAATGTGAACTCAGTGATTATATCGCACGGCTCACAGGTCCTTAGTTTGATTCCCAGCACGGTGGTCATTATGGGCTATTGAGTATCCCTACGACAACAAACTAGTTGTCAAGTACTTTCTGGTTCCCAGTGACTGTTGTATAAACAACTTAATTCAATTATCTCTCATGCTGTATGTTAGTTATTTGGGTGAATTTAAAACGCATATATATATATATATATATATGTATTCTCTCAATAGATCTTTCGTCTTTAACAGATATATCGTTTTAGTGTAAAAACAATTATCAACACATGCTACTTGTTACATTAAGCTTTTAAGTTAACAAAGCAATTGTCAATGTAGGGTTAAAATGGGGAACAGAAAAATTCAATTATTCTGTAGAATAAGTTAGTTATCAATTAAAAACGAGTTACTTGATTATCACAAAAGAGGAGAACTATCGATCAGTCATTAAAAATGATTCTTTTTCCTAATTTTTCAAAAACGTTCAAGCGATCTGTACAAAATTATGTTTCAACCTTTAATAATATCGTTTATTCAATTCCTTTTTGTCATAATAAAACCGTTAAAATAACGTGGTAGGCAACAGATAAAGTATAATTATTTTTAAACGCAATATTGATAAAATAGAAATTTCAAATGCCTAAATAGACATTATATAATATTTCCCTACCTGCTGTAATCTTCCATTCTTTAAATGTATCAACTCAAGATTATAATCTAGTATAGGACTGAATTTACTTGAGTCTGTATAACCGATTCTCGAATGAAGTACTTGCTAGAGCAAATAATTTTGCAAATAAAATAGAAAAATAAAACACAAATATACTTCACTAATTAAGCATTAAAAAGATTAAACTGTAGATTTTATTTAAATGAAATGACGTTTTTTGTCGAATCCAATGTCTAACAATTTTCATCTATATTTTCCTTGTAATAAACTATTATTATACTTTTATGTTGAGTGGATATTTTGAATGAAATTTGTATGTCCAATAAAATTGTACACAAAACTTCATTTCATTGTTGTTTCTAAAAATCAGTTTACGAGAGAGTACACGATTTATTCTATGCAAATATAGCTTAGGTTAGTAGCTACTAATGCCAAAAACTTCTAGGAAAGACTAACTCGACTTTGAATGAAAAAGAAGATGAATCTTTGAATTTTCTAATAATGGTTTTATTTTTCTTAAGTATTCAACCGTTGAATTGATTGTATGGTCATCTTAGGTGAAATTGAGCTCTGTAAGTTGCTTTCGTCAGTGGATTGTTCAACTGATTAGTTTGAAGTATGGAGTTCCTTTGAGTGGACGTGGGTTTTAGTTTATATTCAAAATTCTGAAGTGGTACACATCACTGATTGACACGTGAGAATAATTTTTTTCCTTTTTGTCGTCACAAAGTAAAGTAACATTTCAAATAGACAATTATTAACATTACTGTAAATCTGTTGAATACAAAACAAACCTTAAAAAAATTACTGTTAAGCTAACATAGTAAATAACTGCATAATTTAAAAAAGAATTAACCTACATTAATATAAGTATGTAACAGTTGACCACTTTTATATGTTACATGTGGTCCATTTTTATGGCTAACTAATAAGCCTTTTGGTGTTTTTAATAAACTTGATCTGACTGGTGTACAGGTAACATGTTCTGGAACTTGTAATTTGTTACCAGCCAATTTCATTGCCGCTGACAAATGCTCAATTATACTTCGTATCATTTGTGTATGAAGCTGTAAAACAAAAGAAATAAAACATGAACAGAGTTAGTAAACATAATAAAATTGAAAGAAAAGTAGAAGATTGGTTGGAATAAGTTCGCTTAAATAAACGAGTCAATTAAACTATGTGATTTTTTTACTTTTGGTTGAAGTTATCTTGACCAGATGTAACTTTAGTCAGAATAGAATCCCCTAATAATATCATAAGCAGTACTCCTCTAAATGATCAGCAAATATTAACGCAATAGTAAAGGCAATGCGTGGACGTCTACAATTAATTTTCAGCATCTCCTGTATCTTCAGTACTGTTAATCCAGTTGCAAATTGTTAACTAGCCAAAACTCGACAGATTAGATATTTTCTATGGAAAATCAGCATTATTTCTAAATGGTTTGTCTTTTCAAAGAATTTCAATTGTATGTACATTATTATGTGGATAAGTTGTATCCGGAAGAAACATTCAAACCGAGTGAACTAATTACTAGACTATAGTAGAATAACTTTCTGGGGAATTCGATAACTTAATTTATCTAAACATAATCGATTGGTAACTAAACAATTATCAAACTAAACTAATTAGTAATCTCATTTTGAAATACTTACTATCTATTAGAGCTGTTTATTACTTAAAAGGAATAAATTTTCAGTAAAACCAACTAACTCTTCAGTCAATAATTTAACTGAGAAATTCATATTGTAATATTTTTGGATATTCGATGATGGTTTACTTCGTGATTGACCATCCGTAAGTTAGTGAATTAATATTGTTGACTATTGTTTTGTACCTGTTTGTATGTTTCGATTCTTGTCTTACTTCAGTCATCTGTAATTATTTAATCGTATTACGGGGTTGTAAAGATTGTTAATTTACTCATTGAAATCGTGAATCGATCAGTGTTAGACCACCATTAAAAACCTGGAAGCTCTGGACGGCCGTTTCTTCCTAGTATGGGACTCACTAGCAGTGCGCATCACGACTCCCGCGACTCGCCACTCGATGGTGATGTTAACACTATTAGGTGCTGGCTCACTGGTTCAGAGATTAAGCGCTAGCACGCAAGGTTGAAGGTTCTGAGTTCGATTCTTGAGAGTAGCGGGAGTTGTAGATGCATACAGCTGACGAGTCCTATACCACGGTAAAACGGGCGTCCATTTAGTTAGTACCTCATTGTTGATATTTCTAACTTCCACCAGTCATTTCGTGATATGAATTGAATAAATTCAGCAATCGCCTTTAACACTACGTGCTAAATGACTGAAATATTGTCATGTGTATGTACATAGTGTTCACAATCAATGTTCACTGAGATCAATTTTTTTGGTAGCTTGAACATTATCAATAATAAGAAATATTGTGGTGGTGTTTCGTTCTCTGAGCTGGATATTTTCGTTATGAAGCTTTCATTGTTCTTCTGAACATCATCAGCACAAACTGATGATGTTGTTCATCCAACTGAGCTACAAATTTTCTCCACCATCTCAAGTAAGAAATATGTTATTAAGAAACCATCATCATTAATGTAAATTTCGAACTTTTTCCATTTTACTAAGGGGTATTTATTCAATGTTAATCTCCTAATTGTTCCATGTAACTAGAATTTTGTTTAGTATTTAGAAAAACAGAAATAGATTTATGAAAAAGTTTTCCTATTCTTCAAAGAACTAACTGCTTTATAAAGCTAGTTATAAATGACTATAAACATTATTTGTTTCCCAGAGTAGAACAGTCAGTTATTTAAGAAGACGAATAAAATCTGTCATGTAGTATCTGGTGAACTATGTACCTTAGACTACATTGTTTTGAATTCCCCATGAATTAGTGCAGAAACCGAACTGTTTACATAGAAAAGAATCGCTGACAATAAATAATCTTTTCATCCTTCCTTAAAAACAGTACAACTGACGTGAAAATATAATTTATCCTATATTCTAAACTGTTGGCGTATCCCATTTTTTTGTCTATATACACAATTGTAATCTTTTGATATCGGCTAACTGATGAGATTGAGACGTTTTTTGAACAGCAATAAACTAGTGAATTCCTGTTATGTAACCAAAATTGATGACTTTCTTTCTAGTTTATTCGTTTCATAAGTTATTGTGAAATATTCATTTTTCTGTTTGAAAAGATATTTACTACTTCAATTTTAGTCATCCTTTTTTAAGTGACGAAGTGCCAATTTATTGCCGTTAGTAAATTATTTCGATTTTTTCCGGAAAATATTTCGTTAGCTAAGTTTCTGATTTTAATTTTAACAAAAATGAAGGAGGAACTATGTGAAGTTATTAAAATATTATCAAACCTAAGCACATATTTCTGAAACACATCGAGTGATCCGTTAGGGTTTGCCAAGAAGACTGAATTTCATTCATTTACAAAACTGTACATTTATTAAAAATTGTAGATTTTACATTAACAGTCAATAAATTATTACATATCTCAGTATACAAGCCATGTTAATCATTAAATTATTATTAAAAAAGTATTATGGATCAGTGAACATTTTCATGTTTTGTTGTGTTACGACAAGTAAGAGAAATGAAATAGTTTTTTCCTACCCTAAATTAAATAGTATTAACAGAGTAAGTATGTCTAATAATTTCCCAACCATATCATTGTATGATCGTTCAGTTTATTTCGTTAAGCTACGTAATTAATACGAGGAGTAATTGATTTTCTGACAAAAGAAATCGTTTAATTGGGAACTGTAATTACAGCTAATATTAACAGTAGTATTGTAGATAGTGTCTTGTTTATACTACAAGCGCGCCAGTGTAGGATTGATAAAACTAAATAAGAGACTATAAAATAGACTACAAGTTTATAAACTAGTCTCTTTTGAATAAATTCATCACTAATACACCAGATAACACTAATGTGATTCATTAGCAAAATAAATAAAATCCTCTCTTCTTTTAAATCACATAAATTTTCATCTGAAGAGAATAAGAAAATTCTTTAAAAGTTTTCAATAATATTTTAAAGGTCATTTAAAATACAGAAGTTTGTTAATTAAATTTAGACTTAAGAATCATTTCCTTGTTATTGAACCTATATTAGAATAAGGTCAAGTAACTTATCAATACATTACTAGCTTTTTAATTTCTAATGGGATATGGACTTGTTCAGTATTTGTCTAGTTTGAATTTTCAAAGGCATACAAATCATTTCTCTGAGATATTTTTGAAACATATTCTTATTAAATCTAATTGGATAAAACTTTTACTTTTTGAAAATTAAGTGTTTAAATAGATTATAGTTCAAGATATTAGTCACATATATTCCATACAATAAATGTGCTAATTGAAATCATCAGGAATTTATTTCACAAAAGCTAGAACACAATAATCTTATCCCTTCCAAAGTAATTTCCATCTGTAGAAATGCATTTGTATCCATTTTCATTTTTGTAATAATCTTTGAAAGCTAATAGTTTCAGTTATTTTGACACTAAATACTTTAATGTCTCTATACTACTCCATTGTGATTAGAAGCTGAGTTCAGACAGCTAGCTCTCTTTGAGTAGTCTGACCCAGGTATTCGGCTTTTAAATACAGTTCAGCTAACTTTTTATTTATTTATTTCTATGATTGATTATGCCAGATGACCAGTTCAGATATTTGTTGGGCAGAAAATATATAGCTACTTACATCTATACTGGTTAAAATTTGATCATTTGATTTGAATAAAACAAAAGTTCTACACAACAAACGAAATATATGATTCATAACTGGTTAATAATTTGAAAATGAAACTCTTGTGCAGAAATTTAAATAAAAAACATCATTTGAGAGGTAATGGTAGAGAGATTCAAGCCTAGGTTTTCTACTTGTCAATATCGTACCACAGAAAATTAGAGATGTCTTTATACAGTTGTAAATAAATTGAACGTTAAAACGCATAGATTGTAAAGCTTCTCATCGACTATCAAATAATAACGTAGTTGAATGATATTTAATTTATGCTCACGACAAGCTGCTCTTGTAAATAAAAGAATTAAGTCACTATTTAATTAATGATAGAGTCTTAGTATGGAACAGATTCCGTTTATTGTATGTATGTGAAATTAATCGTCCGTAGAAATAATTTTGACTTATTGTTTATACATCAGAAATCATTAGTTGACTGTCGCACACTCCATCAAATCATTCAAAATGTTTAATTTTTACATATCAACAAGTAACGTGAAATTGCTTACCGATTCACTTTCTGATTCATGAGATATTCCAGGTATTTTAAAACGAACCAGAGCTATATTGCCCTTTACACGCTGAAGTGAAGTCATCAAACTTTCAAGTGAACCCTTGAAATACATTATAAACATAAAACAAGGATACGAAACAATTATTTTCTGTTTGATCATCACTTGTCAAAAACTATTGCTCATAATGAGATTTAAACTTAATACTATCAGAGCGTTCTAAATTTTAGTCGATAGAAATCGATTCATTCTTGTGTGTATCGACAAAATGTATGTATGTATGTTCATGTGTCAATGCCCATCATGATCTAATCAAATTTGCATTTGTAGTTCTTACTTCTTTTGTCCTTTCAAACAAAACTACACTGCATTACAGTTACAGAAACTAATACCAATCGTTTTATGATCACAAAGAAACGGAAATGAATTATGAAATGTTCAATAGATATATCTGTGCGTTGTAGACATTAAATAGTTACCTATTACTTTCATTAATAAAGTTTACTCATGTTCAAAGCAACGAGTAATTAACGTAAATGTTCATGCACTACCAATTATAAATTTTTGTATGAAGATTGTGAAACAGTATTCTAATGTTTGATTAGGAAATTTTTCCATTTACAGAAAAAACAAAACTTGATCTTGATTAGAATATTGAAAGAAGTTACTTAAATTTTATCTGCAGGCATTGTTTTGCCTACATTTAGTTTTATATATCCAGAATAAACTCAGGCAGTTAAACAGAATTCGTGAATTTGTTTCATGTATCATGAAGGACATTGCGTTTGTCGCAACACTTGGTGATTTCGGTCATTTGTAGATTATCACCTAGCCTATTAATGTTAATTCTGGATATAATAATACTATAAAGAAATATGAAAGAAAGCATTTGTAATTCATTACATTCACCTCAGATCAGCTTTTAAAGCTTGTATGCAAACTATCAGGGGTCATTGTTAGGTTAGTGGAAGGACTGTCTGTTAGGAAGTAATGGCCACCTTTATGTGCACAAAAACAGTATGTCCTGTCTATGAGTTTGCCCAAGTAATTTTCTGTTTATTTTAAATCTCAGTCCATTGTGACAATCTCGTATCCTTCCCTTATCATGTCATCTCTCTCTCCTTCTCTTGCATTTTCAGTTATCGCTTAGTGCTTACCCAACCTTTGCTATGTAATTAACCAAGTAACTGAATTCCTTGAAAAATATACTGGTGACCTGAATTTAGAAGTAAATTACACAAATGCATCACATTTTATAAACCCATTCAGTCTTCTCATTACACTGTTGAAACTTATAAATAAGACTAATGGTTTTAAACTAATTCTACAATAACAATCCCCCGTAAATTTAACTTACATCATTAAATATAAAGTATTGGGCATAATTTGGATTCACTTCTTGATCACCCATCTAAATGTAGAAAAATAGTGTCATTTAATAATTATATCTGATATCAAATTATTTAGATGTAATATTTATTATTTTTAATGATAGGCTGAATAATTTGATTGTATGTAAGTAAGTATAACTAATCCATGTTAGTAAAACTTTTAATTGTACATGATATGTAACTTAAATTATACATTTGTAGCTTTACAAAAAAATAAATTACAGTTTAATGAAAATTTTTGTGCCATTTCATATACAAGTTATATCTCTAGTAGCTTGTTTCTTTAATATTCCGTTATTAAAATATTAGTGGAATTTTTAATAGTTTCCATTTCAAGCTAATAATAACGAATAATTAAATACGTTTTTATGATTTTAATTTATTCCTATAATTTAAGGTAGAATAATTTTGGTTAAATATAACGATAATAGTAATATAAATCAATGCCATTCAGATCGGAATGTATCAAGTAAAATTTTGAGGATAATTGCTGTCTGAGCCAAGATTATTAAAAATAAATATTTCAAGTTATAAAAGTCCTATACTATAAACTAATCAATCAAGAACAATTTAGTTGTTCAGTGTATCTTTAGAGAAAGCGGATTTTTTGTTTTTGTGAATCTACAAATTCACACATTCCAGAAGCTGAAAGTCGTCATTTGCTTTGGTTAGTTATGCATTGATTTAATCATAAAACACTTGATCATTAGAAATTAACTATTACACATTAATCAATTTATGTAATTACATGAATACATGAAGTGGGTGATTATTCCTTAACTTTCTAAAATTAACGTGGTCTAAGGTGTGGCAAGATACGTTTTCCTTTTGACAGTTATTTAAAATGGGATGATGTTACTCATGTCTTTCAATGCAGATCATAGTCACAGTAACAGCATCACATGGACAAGCATATGTACACGCATGTCCTTAATTTATACATAGTTGGAATATTTGTTTGTAATTTACCAAAGTGTACAATCTTACGTTAAACTTTATATTAGTGTAATTAAGTCCAACTTATAAAACCATGTATATGAAAACCGTAAAACAAAACTGGTTGATTTCAATGAAATCCATATTCGTACACTATCAGTATTAGCAAGAAACTGTCTAGTTTGTCTTGTGAAATTCATCAGTTCGTGGTCTGCCATCGTTTTCAAAGGGAATCTTGTATTAATAAAAGTCTTGGTTTTTTAGGTTACCAAACCAGTTCTGATAGTTCACTTATTTTTTGTTTTACTGTCTGTCTACGAAAACCTTTATTCATTTGTTATTAATTTTTCTTTTCTTACGATATAAATGTCAGAGTTCGTAACCCATACTTTACTTGAAAATATATGCAGTCAATTGATTACGATTTCTAGTATAAAGCAGAGAACTTTATTATATTCTCGGCACTTCGTATCATTAAAGGGATAAATTTTACGTCTGTAATGAACAAGTTCGATTAGAAAATTAAAATGTTATTCATTCTCAAAGATGATAATGTATCTTTTATCTACTCATAATCACATGAAACGGTTAATTATACGATTGCATCCTACTTGAAAACATTAGTGCATTCATGTCTTCAATGGTCCATTTTTCATTGGTGAGTTACTTATTGATAATAATGTCGGGAGAAAGACACTAAACTCATTTCATTTCCTTTGTAATTCTTCGAGATATAAATTGAGAATATACTAGCAAAGCCTTTTTCATTTTTTGAGAGTAAATATTTAAACCAGTAGTAAGAAATTCCGCGAAGTTTATCTCATCATTATTGTAAAAGGAACCGAATAGCATGCAAACGTATATATTTCATTCAACTGTATTTATTAATTCACATATGTATATAGACTGAGATACTTAGAGAGGAGTAATTGTGAACTGTATGCAAAGATTGTTGAATATATATCAAGATGACTAAAAGAACGTAGAAATAGTCAGTAATCTTCTTCCTCTTGCTAGAGAATCAGATATAATGTGGTAGCTTTTGTAATTGTTGAATTGAATGTAGACTGACAATGTTGATTTGAAATTCAATACCATTCAGACTATTTTCTTCGCTAAGTTTGTTCTTCTTAAATCCTATATTTATCTAGTTGGTCTTTACCTTGTTTTGGTAATAACATCTTTACAAGTTAATGTACAGTCAGATTGTTCAAAATTTATCATGGTTATAAACTGCATTTGCTCATTCGACATATAATACTTGTCAATTTTAATGCGCTGCTACTAATGATTCGTTTTATGACATTTCTTTATAACGTATTATTTTTACTAAATAATTCCTTCAAAGATGTTCAGTTTGTACTTTATTGTAATTAGTAAATCAGACTTATTTCTATTTTTGACGTAAGTGAATACATAAGAAGGAAAAATCACTCACTAGTATGATAAGATTATCTAAATTATTGTATACTATATTCTAGGAAATATTTGAAAGAAAATCTGTTTTTTCTTTCTAATCCAATAGAACAGCTAACTAATTTGTATGCAAATTAACTAAAATCTTTTGTCAGTTGTTGATTATCCTGATAATTACAAATCTTTCTTACAGTGTAAGAAGATTGTCTATTATATATATAAAAAAATTTTTTTGGCAATTCGGTTAAGTTTGACAAATGTTTATTAAGACGAGTTCATTATCATATCATTCACTGAGCAGAATCTTTAACTGGATTAAAAAAATATCAGTGGAATTGTTTGATTTATATTTTGGCTATAACTGTGTAACTACATTAACAATACTCATCTAATATAAACAACAATGAGAATATTGGAATGTTTTTGCAGTTGTTTTGATTCAAACTGAGATGAAATTTTTAAATGCTTATATAATCCGATATTTCTTATAAGCCAGTAATTTATACACACTGAAGAGCTTTCATCTAAATTACTCTTATTGAAGACAAATGATAGAGTTTTTATCAACTCATCTGTTTAATAAACTAAATGGAAAGCAAATTATTTGAAACTTTTATCAGGAATTAAGAGAATTTAGCCTTTCTAACCTGTCCAGTTTCTTTTGCGAATCATCACAAACTGATAACCACACAAACACAATGTTTGTAGATTCCTTTTTCACAAAAAAAATTAAAGATACGATATGTCGACTTAATCCAAGTAAACTGAGCCTGTGAAAAGCTATGACAGAAATCAAACTAATATAATAAATGAATACATATAAGTTATAAGGTCAGCGCTTATAAAAAATGATATGGATTATTTTTTTTTAGATTTTGAATCTTTCAGCATTAAACTCGTTCTAATAACTGGATATATTTTTTGTAAGAAAAGATTAGTTATTGATTCTTTGCTGAAAAGAAAACTTTTTGACTTCACAATTCTCATACTAATTCCGGTTTGTTTAATTAAAAGTGAGTTGTACTTATTATCGTAAGAAGCAACGACTATATTCGAAGAAAAACATAATCTGATTACATAAAATTTGATTTTTTTTTCAGAAGAGAATTCACTTTTAACAAAAACATTTTGGTGAAAATAAGTCGTTTTCTTTCTTATTGCGAAAGGAATATAAGATGCAATGAAATGATATATGAGGATGTTCAGCTCATAAATTTGAACCAAAAATAATGTACAATAATTTTAACTGGAAAACATTCCTCTTTGTTTTGTTTTGGATCAGCTGTGAGATAGGTTACGTCACTGAGAAACAGGGTTAAAGACAATCACACAGAAACTATTAAAAATAATTGAGGATAAAAACTAATGTATTAAGTAACATTTTCTCGTACATTTGCATATGTGTCAGCGAAAGTTATAGAACTGTTTATAATAATCTTTTACTTCTAGGTATTTACAATTTCATATAAATCAGTAGTTATTTCCTACAACATGAAGTTGGAAGACGAGCATCAACCCTCTAATTCTCCAGGTACTCTCTGCTAACGTGTGCATAAGAGTGCAGAATATAAGCTTATAGTCGATTGCTGATTGCCTCTTACTATCAAAACATGTACAGAAAATCTACCGTGCTTCCAGAACTAAAATGTTTACAGTCCATACTGTTGACAAAAGCTGACATTTAAAATCGTAATCATACTTGGTTTATAGTTTATGTAGTAAACTCAAAAGAACTAAATATCTAGTTGATAAGGTTGATTTCTCAATACTCATTTGTTTGTCTTTTTGTCTTAAAAATTTTCAGATTCCTAAACGAATCTAATTGCATATAGATTTCCATTCGACTATCATATGGACACACAGATGAAAGATTGACTTGCAGTCTTAGTCATTTTGTACATTATTTCTTCCACGTGCTGGTTGAAATTATGTGCCTTCGATTTAATCTCATTTAAAGCTTTTACTTCTGTGTATAATCTGAATTATTTGATTCAGTATTATCTAAATAATTTAGTTTCATTTACTACTTCAGACCACAATTGGTAAACAAGCTGTATTTGATTATAAAACTAATTTAAAACTTACCATCTGAAAAAACTGTTCTATGCTTTTTGCAGATAAATCCAAAAAGAATGCTTCCAGATGTTTAATTTCTCTAATAATATGGGCTTTGTAAAAAGAATTTTCTCTCCACCTACGAATAAGCGCTGTTGTTTGTAAACTTTCTAGGCATTCACGATATTTCAGAAAGTCTGTTTAAATTGACAAAATATTTAAAACAGCTCAAAAATAATTCTCAAGTCTTTTTACACGAATCTGATATTAACTGATATTTTATGGATAAATAAGCGTTTTACAGGAAAAATTTATTTCACATCAAAAAAACACAAACATTCAAAATGTAGTCGATTTCCTTAGCTGCTAACAAGGAATTTAATACCTGTAGTTTGTGCTGATGTTGTTCAGAAGAACAATAAAAGTTCCACAACCAGACAATCTAGCTCAGAGAACAAAGCTCCACTACAATCATCCACCTGAGCTACAAATTTTCTCCAACATCTTAAAGAAATTAATCTAACTTACCTAAGGAATGGAATAATTTATGTGATAAAATAGTATTTTGTTACTGAAAATGTTGTCTGAAACAACAGGATTTTAAGACTCCATGATCAAATCAAAGAAGTGCATAACCTCTTTGTTTGCTGTGATGGTGTTCAGTATGGAGTAGATAATGGCTAACGTTTTTCAAAGTGAAATATAGATGATATGTATTTATTACATATTATAACGAGTAGTTAGTGAACAATGAAACAGTTTTCTGAACTAGATAGAATGTGTGATGAACAACTGTTTTGTAAATCAAAAAAGATAAGTTTTACTGCATAAAAATTATTTTTCATACAACTGAAATATGACACAAGAAAGGAACTAAATTGTGTAAAAATTCTCTAATAAATTGCTCAATAAATGAATTATGTTACCAAGTTGAATTTATATGCAGATGTTGATATTTGTATTTGAATACTTTAAATAATAATAAATGGACTAGATTGTATTTCAGAAATCACTAATACACGAACGTTTTTAGTTAAAAGTAATTTACATTGAACAAAAATAAGTTTAAAATAGCTTTTGGCTTATTATCCTTTCGTAAACTGTTGTTGGTAAAGGCCTGTACAAAGTGAGGTTAGTGTGAATTTCGTTGTTTACCAGTTAGTACAAAGGTTCTGAGTGCATTGAACTCTTTTAGGAAATGGAAAATTTAAGCTGGAAAAGCCAGATCTATAAATTGTAAAGTCCTATTTAGTAACATTTATGAAATAAACTGTTATGAAGCAAGTTTAATCGAAGGCCTACAAAATAGCTTTCTGAGCATGTTTCGAAACTCATGAATCATATGAACAACGGTTTTTATCATGCGCTTGGTAGATAGCGTACACCATTTTAATAGCTTGGAATATTTTTATACAAGATTGATAAGTGATTTCATGTTTGTAGATACTATACAATGAAGATTAGCGTGATAGTAAATCGTGGTTTCCTGTTAATCAACTCATTTCTCAGTAGAGAAATTAACCGATTTTTAAAATCTGCTAACTCATAAGCCTCATTTTTTATAAACGAAAATAACTGACCACCACTATGCTCGTAAACAATAGCAAATCCTTTCCAAATTTCTTCATTAATTACAATTAAATTTCTTAATAGTTCAGCCACAAGAAATTGACTTGGGCCAATTGAATGTACTAAAGCAGGTGAATATGGATTAGATATACGCTGATGTGAGTTTCCAGAACGATGTTTTGTTTTTGAAAATGAAAACCATTTAATTGCTGAATCAATCATTGAACCTGGACATTCTTCAAGATCTGTAATAGTTACCAAAGGTAATTGTAATCTTGAACTTAAGCCCATCAATAACTGTCGTCTATAACACCTTAACCGTTCACTTGCTTCAGATTCAGCTGCTTGTTCTAATCCATTGTGTAAAGTATTCTTTATTTCTTGTTCATATTCTACAGGTTCATTATTTTCATTTTTGATACTAGCTGAAAATATGAAATTATCATCATTCTGTGAAGAATATGGCCAACTGGAGTCAACAAGTGCAACTGGTCGAGTTGTTTTGTTGAGTATGGAGCAGGCTGAAGGAAATTTTAAAAAGTAACAGTGTTTTAAAACTATAATTTATATACTTCATTTTTAAAAGATACTCTTTCATCTCATATAGTCTTATTTTACAAATCAAACTGACAGTTTGTAATGCTCTAATCTTTCGACTGAATGGAGAATATGATTTCAACACCTCAAGTATTTTGAAATTGTATAACTCATTGTCTCTTCCTATAATCCTAGTGCTATTAACGATATTTTCACATTAGATTCTTACTACATTTGATATTACTTTTCAGTTTTAGAAAATAAAAAATAAAAAGGCTTGCCACAATCTTTTGTTACATGAATGCCAAAAATTCTTTATCTTACCACTAATATGGCAAGGATAACCAATTCTTTGATCGGAAATCGTCTAACAGCTTTTATATTGTTTATTACAATATACCCATAATATCATAGTAATCTTAAAGAATATATATTACTGATTTTATTCTATTGCCGGTGGTAAATAAATGTCTAGAAATGCCTAACAGAAGAACTTCATATGGTTCTGTTAATCTACTGTACACACACTTGGAAGGTTTTTAAAAAAAGTAAGGATAGATTAAAGGATAAAGTGTTGAAGTCGTGTGTCACAATGAAGACTTATTACGCAAACATCTATAAGGAGAGAAAGGTAGCGAATAATACAATGCTACACAAATACAAAAAAGCTGTCTATCAGCTAAGCGAAATATATCCGATTTTTATATAGTTATCCTATTAATTTATAACCAAGAATACATGTCATAGTTGTAACAAACGATCTCAATTAAACTGACTTTTTTCATTTTAATAATGGGAAAATATATAAACTAGTCTTTTCTGCATATGGTTTATGAACGTCCATACCAAATAGTTTTACTGTATTTACATATATATATATATATATATATATATATATATATATATATATATGCGGAGTTTTGTTGTGAAATAAACATTTTATAACGTATAAAAATATGCACAACATTTATTTGATATCTCTTTATTCTAGTTGGTATTTTTAAGACATCATCAATTTTAGCATATATCTTTTGGGAAATCAAATAGAAACACTTTTATAATTGAATATTTTTTCAGTATTGAATATATACGTACATATGAGTTTGCTGTTGCCATTTTGATTACTATTGTAGTCATGAATGTAACTGCGAATTCAATAAATTAATTTGTATGAATGATTTTGTTTAGTGAAGAGACAATTTTATTGAATTCTGAACCTAACTACGCAAAATAATTCTGTCATATAAATACAAACCTGAACTACTGAACGAATGAGCGAAAAAAATCTTATATGAGTTGATCACAGCTTCACTTATATGATACTAGTTATATATGCAACTCATTTGTCCAAATTTCAGAAAAACCTCCCTTCACAGATAGCTTTCCCTTAATTTAGATGACAACTTGAAACCTATTTACCTATCAGAATGACTGAAATTCGAGATATCACTCATCGTAAACAACAGTACTCATCTTAGCTGAACGGTATTTGTTTTATCATGATCACAGAAGACAATTATGAGTTCATGTATTTCATTTTATTTGATATCTGTGACAAAAGTCTATTCAACACAAATTAAGAATTTGATTTGAACTGGGTTTTTTACCATAGAAATAAAGCAAATCAATCGTTTAAATAATCATTTCCTACAGTTTACGCAATTTCGATATTGATATTTAAATACTGTCTCTTTAAAAGCTATACGCATGTACACCAAGTTGGGGAGAACATTTTCTAAATGAAAAAAAATGTTTAATAAACTTACCAGCATTGAAATCTGCTTCAATATCACCAGTTATTGGTAATAGAACTAGGGCAACACTAATATTAGCTTCTATTGCATATTTTGCGAATGTCTGATCATAAATAGGCAAACCGAAAGTAACTAAAAATGACCAAAAAGAGATTTAGGTTATTTTACTAGAAAATAATGACAAGTTATTCATCATAATTGGCTGATAGAATACGAAAATGACTTGACCAACTAGTTAATCCAACTGATAAAATCTTGTATAGTTTTATTCAACTTCCATTAGCAGACAACAACTTATATATATATACAACAAAAATATATATATATATATATATATATATATATATATATATATGATTGAAATCAAATGGTAATCATCAAACCTCCTTAGAATTATCTTCATTAATTATGAAAGACTTTTGATTTCGATCTTCCTGCCACTAGATTTTTCTATGTTTGTTGCAAGTAAACAAAACTGAAAAAGTTTTTCTGATGATTTTCCGTATTGTATCTACTCAGTATAAATTAAATTTTATAAGTTGGCTATCTCTTTGACTAGAAAACTATATTATGCATCATTTTATGATAATAATAATGATATTAATAATTTTTTAGTAAATGAAAAGTCAGTTAAGTCCAAATGACATAATGTTTTCATTCTGAATAAAATGAAAAATTGTAAGTTCTTCAGTTGTTGAAATTATTCACAGTTTCTGATGATAATTATTCGTGAACAATATTATTGCGAATTTCAGAGAGACATTTGGGGCAAAAAATATCAGTATTTTCAAAATGGTTATTGTTTCTATTTTAATTAAAATATTTATGTTTAGATGATGTATGAAAAATATATCTTCTAAAGGAAAAAATTTAAAATCAATTGTTAATAGAAAAAGTTCATGCATACATTTATTCATAAAGTGAAAAGTATCCAGCTAAATCATTTAAAATAATTTCACAATAAGATAGATATCATTCTAGGCTGCCTTTTTTGAAATAAATGCTTATACAACCGCAGGTTAAATATTGCGTAACTTCAATCTTTGCAAATCCAAACCAATAAAAACATTGACAAAATCAGTAAAATATATTTGACTGCTGAAACACCGTAGCTTTATCTACTTCCAGAAAACCTATATTCGGTTATAAATTAAAACTACAAACCATTAAGAGAATTTGATAGAAAAATAGAACAGTATTCATTGTTTCTCAAATTCGGCATGGCTGTAAATCGTTTGCAGTGGCTCAGGTGCATTTATTCTATATGTTCTCTGAAGTTCTAATCTTCTGAATTCCTTATTATCTCCATCTTTCTCTTTCTAACTTCATCTCACTGAATTATACCCTAATCTTCTCCATTTCGGCTAATACTTCTACTATTGCTACCACTATTGGATTTAAACTGACAGTTGCGTCTCTGTGCTGATGCGGTATGGCAACGTGTACATACGTACGAAGTTCTGTGTTGTATCTGTCTGTCTGTTTCTCAACTTCAGTTGGTGTACCAACTCTCCTAATTAATTACCCCAAACATATTTTCTAATTCAATGTTAAACCATGTTCGGAAACCATCTGTAAGTAGCATATTTACTACAAATTTATTTTTTAACATTTAACAAAGTAATTTGAGTATTTATGTCAAAATAAAACTCGAAGTACTCAGCAAAGGATAGCAGAACAAATTGTAAAATAAATATTACTTACAGTCAATTACTTATAATCAATAAAATCATACGAAGACGAGAAGACTAAGCATAAATAAATAAAAATCAAATGAATATACATTTAGATGATAATTGCTATGGAAAATGAGTTTTTAAAAAATGTATTTCCAGTAATCTGTTCTGTTTGTCAATAATGCAAACGAAATAGGAGTATATAAATTTACTGAAAAACAATATAATTATATATGGAATGGAATAATGGTGACCACCTATTTAAAGAATGCTTATATAACTCTTATGTAATCTCTGTTAGTCACTAGCTTGTTAAACTGATGTGAAATCTTTATTGAACAATTGTTTGTTCCAGTGGTTGTTGTAAAGGGCATCAATTCATCAGTCTTAATTTACACATGTGTGTCATAAAACAACTATCTCGATATCGTCACTTAGTTACGAGGTAAAAATGAACAAAATTTATAGTTTTGAAGCGACATATTTTAGGTTTGAGTCTCGGTGCTTATATCCATTCAGGAACACAGATGCATTCAGTAGAAAATAGAGCAAAACTATATTCTTCCATTCCATGGTTAATTAGAAGCAAAAAAGATTAAGACTTGTAGGTCAATAGCTATACTGAGGCGATTTGTTTATGACTCACAAAGCGGTTGAAGCCTATAATATCTACAACTGGAAACGCTAAAGCTAAATGATATTATTTTTCTTTTATTTTGAATTGAAACTGTCACTAAAAAAACAGAATATTCTTTAAATAAATTCTATCATGATTTCAGCCCACTTCGGTTTAATGATGTGTAATTCTCTAGGGATTTGACTTCTCTTAAATCAATAAGATTATCAATCAAGTAGAAATTTTCAGAATCTTACTCATGAATTGAGGTAATACCTGTAACTTTTATCAATGAATTTGTAGAACAGAGCGTATTACTTCAGTTTATTTCATATCACCCAATCTAACGTTGTACTATGTTGCATTTTTTGTGTCTTTTGTAGTGTATATCCTAGTTTTGGTCATGATTTGTCATTATAACACCCTTTTGAGAATTTAAGAAGGGTTGGATTGTCACACTGAGAAATGTTTCACCAGTTTTGTGGCGTTATCCTCGCTCTCTAGAACATAAATGAATCTGTATGCATATTATACAGGCTAAAAACTCTCGACGTGAGTTTTCAACACAGTTATGACCTGTAATCATTTCTTAAAAACCATAATGAGTGCAACTAAAGAACCTAACCTATAAGTAATGCAAGTTACTCTCATACTTCCTGTTACACCAAATTAATATGAAGTCGTAAACGACTCAAAAATCCACCTAATATATTTTGAATACCACCATATCTGATATGACATTAAAACATCGTTAATGAAATGAAATTGTTATTGCGGAAATGTTAAAAAATTTATTTTATCAGCCTCTCATTCCTTGCTGTTATTGCATAAGATTCTAGCAAAAAAACTTTATTTACCAATAAATAGAAGTTGGTTTTATGTACATTAATAAAACTGATAAATTGGTCTAACTCTGAGTTTCTGGTTAGTAATATCATTTGAGTTTAAATAACAACTACTTAGCTAATGGACATTCTGTCAAAAAAATATTTATTAAATAATTATTTTGCTAAGTGCTGTGTTTGAAAACACAACAATAATAGGACTACTAATGATTAAGAAATGACATGTCATTTTTAAAAAGTTGGAAATTGAAATATAAGTGACTGAATTTGGTTATTCATTACACAATGATAAATATTTATTTACAAACAGCATTTAAAATGTGTAGCGTATAAATAAGTTTTTATTTTTTAATCTCATACATGATTACAGAAAAACACTGACGTTTTTGGGCTGTATATATTTGAGGTAGAATTGATGTAAAGAATCTTAAACTGAAAAATCTTGCTAACTGATAAGACTGATAACAATAATAACGTTGCATATAATTACTGTTAATCATAAAAGTGTAGTTTACAGGTATTATTATTATTAGGTGAACTATTTTATATCCAAATTATAGGAACATACTGCTCAACTGACTTTTATGTTGTGTTGTCTAACAATGATTGGGGTAAAAGTGTAATAAATCTACCAGCATTTGTCCTGATAATTAATTACTCTTTGAATCTGTCGTCTAAAAAATTGTGAATAAAAATCCAGGTTAGTTATTATTAGTCATAAAGAAAAGGTTTCCTAACAGACGTTTTATCAAAAAAATTCTATAATCGGATTCTTAAATAATAAACCGTTATTGGTGAGTGTTATTTCGGTACTTCATTGCTGATGGAACACTAGCTTCTTGAGAATGAAATTTGTCTGTAGTGCTATTGTGAATATGCCTTACTTATATTACTCCAAAACACTTTTTTATTTATTGAAAATGGACATAATTAATATTCCACAATGTAGGAATTATCAATCTTACAACATTACTTTCTGTTATCCTTATATTTTTATCACTGATTTCAGTTTCTAGTTGACCGTCAGTATGGAAGTATCATCCAGTTCACTCTCGTTTTGTTCAGTGTCGTCTCTTAAAAAATAAAACCAACCCTAAATAAGGTCACTGCAAATTTCTTATTTTTATATATATGTACGACTATGTCATATAGATGATAGAGAAAATTTATAGCTCAGGTGGATGATTGCGGTGGAGCATCGTTCTCTGAGCCAGACGTTATGCTGCGGGAGTTTTCATTGTTCTTTTGAACAACGGCAATGACAAGTGTAAGGTCAGCAGTAGCCGATCAAGAGTGAGGCCAGCAGAACATGGTACGAGTCATATGGGTAGGAATCTGAATACTTCAATTCTTTCTCAAGTTTGTTCTAATGATGTTGCTCAGAAGAAGAATCAAAGCTCTTAGAGAATGAAACTCCTCCACGAATATGTCGTCGGAAGAGAAGAAGAAAATTAAATATCGTAAATAAATTATTATAATGAATTTAAAATTTTTACTACTCTTTACAAATCCTACATGGTTTTGTCATACTATTCAACTGCTTTTAATTTATATTTACTCATAGAAAATAACACCATGAAATTCATAATTAGACTGTACGATGTATCATATATATTTGAATAAAATCTAAGTTTACTTGATCTGTAATTCGTTGTTTGAAAAAAAACCAAACTAATTTAACATTAAAGGACACCTAAATTAGCCTCAATCAACAAAACAGTCTTAGTTAATATCTTTGTCAATGGAGAAAATTTGTAACATTTATTCTCATAATACTAATTCCTAAAATCTACATACTACATTTGATTATGTTGAAGATACATATGTTGCGTTCATTTACAATTGAATGAAATTTTTCTTTGCTTTGATTTTCGTTTAATCTGTTGAATTTAAGTGATAACCTTCACTCTACTCTTTGTAAGATCTGTTTTGTCAAAAAAATTCAGACGAATTTCAAAAAATTTATTGGCGTTTATTGTTATCTTAAAACTTTTATTTGACATGAATTTTATAGCATAAATAGTATTGTTTGAGAAAAAAAACTACTAACGTTTTACTGAGTTTGTCGTAAATTGTTTTTAATTGTTTAAACATTTTGTCTTTTAATTTTCGGAAAGAGAAATTGTTTATTCTATTATGTTGACAATAAGAACAATCAGTTTATAAATTTAATATCTGTTTTCCATCTCTGTATTATTACGTCCAAGAAATACCGTCTATTATACAATACCGGTCAGGAAATCGCAACATACATATGATTTTCAAAATCAAATAGTTTTATTCTTATTTTCAAATTATACAGTTCATTGTGTATAATAATTTTGGATTTTTTTTAAAAATCTGATTTTGCTCAATAATTATTTCTAGAACAAAATCTGTACTTTCACATGAATGAAAGCTTTTACTAAATAATACCAAATAACGAGAGAAAGAAAGATGGGGGATAAAAGAGAAATACCAATTAATTGCTGCTTTTTAACAATACAAAAAATGAACGAAAAAAAATGCAAATTTTTCATAGCATTTAATTACAAACTATTTTATGCATAATATGAGGAATTTAATTTATAACAACAAAGTGGAAAAAAGGAATTTTCATAATACGATTTTACATATGCTTATAAGGTCCTAATTACATCGATACAACTATAACGTGTATATTTTCAAATAACTAAATACACTCTAGCATTAGGTTGCCAAATCAGCTGTGTTTTCTGTAGTTTCATCGTAATGCAACATTCAATAATGTTTTGAATTAATACATAACGGTAATGAAAAGATTAATTTCAAACAGATTGTGTTAACCGACCGGTGTAGAGTTATCTCTCATTTACCGTGAAAAAAACGTAGTTATAAAGATATTATATGCAATGTAGTTTTCACCAATAAGTGTTCAAGTAATTGTGACTATTTACAATTTGTATTTTGTGATAAAATGTAAATATACGAAAACTTTGCGTATATCCCGGTTATTGGACTGAATTCTGACGAATTTCAATTATAATTTTAAGTTATCTCGAATCATACCATCAAACATTTTCAATAATTATTTATTTTTACAGCCTAATTTTACGTTATCAGTATCTATAATTAAATATACTACTACTAGAAACCTATTCAATTCAGTTCACCATAATACCAGTAAATTTTCAGTAAAGTTTTATCATTTAAACAAACTTACGAATTAAAACATTTCACATGCATGAAAAGCATGTTTTTGTACATCTTTTTACTAACAGTGTTTATAAAAACATTTAGATAGAAAAAATTTTATAATTTTTGATGCTGAATAAAGCATGAAACTTGATTGAACTAATAATTAACTGATACTAATTAGCATGCTGTTATTTTATCTTTCAGTTCATTTAATAACAATCTTATACAAATACAAACCTGAACGGAAAAGATTACAGTAAGTTACGTCATCTTTAATCCAAAATTGAAATTCTAATTTTATGTTACAACCATGGATCGAACAAACTATCTGAATTAAATAAAAATTCTACAGTTCTCCTACAACATCGCCACTTAAAATTGTATTGTGTCATTGGAAAAAGATGACGACAATCAAACGACGAAATCATCGTAGTTCTTCGATGAATCATGTTCGTTCTTCTTCTTCTTGTTCAGTGATACAATACTATATACATCGAATCGTTTAATAATTTCATTCGAATAGATTTTGAGTTGTTATTAGATTGTCTTGTTAATTTACTTAGCAATGTATGTTTTTCTATTTCTTCTACCATCTATTCCTTCCACCTATTCCTAACACCATAGGCAATCGTTCACTTCATTTACTTCCTCTTTTATGACATTAAATTGATTGAAATTTTTGTTCGATGATCATGATTGTAAAACAAAATTCTTTTTCAGTTCATATTGTATTTTTAAGCAGCACTAAACTCTATTAACTGTTCAAAATAATTAGAGCCTCGAGAAAACCAGTCATTAAACTTAATTTGATCATTTTTTGTTCACTGGCCAATAGCTAATTACCTATCAATGTACCGACTATTAAAATAAATTCCAAAAAAATACATGCTTAGAATTTCACACTGAAGTTAAGTCATGCTATTACGTATAAATAAAATGTGACTTTTTATCTAACAGCTGGATACTAATCTTCTACAAAGGTGATAACAAGTGAAATATACTATCGTTTATCTACTACAGTGATGGGATCAACTTTCGTTTTGCAACCTGATATTGAAGTCAGCATAACATTCTAAGACTATGCGTTCAAATATCCATGTTATTCGAGTTTAATCGATATTAGCTATCAATATTAGGCCAGCATAAGCACATACAACGTTATTAACTAGCTTCAATGATGTCTTAGCATAGAAATAATAGCTGTAATCCAATTTCTTACTTTTTAATTGACTTAAAAGAATGAAGCATTTTCAGAGGCTTTTTATTCTCACACATTGACGGTTTAATAATAATATCATGAAAGCTTTTAATGAAGTCCAGCCGTTGAATGGAATGAGGATAAATTATTCTTGATTTAAAGTTTTTGACCTTTCAACTTATTTTTATTCCCGATAGATTTCTACCGAATTTAAAATGCACGTAAACGTTAACGGTTGTGTTTCATCATAAGAAGCTATTCAATAGTGACCATACGCATAAAACCAAGAATCGCAAAGACCTTTTTATGGTACATTCGTTTTCGCCACTGAATGATATTCATTGAGATACCAACTTTGATGTGAGAAGATATTTTAAAAACAAACAAAGAACGATTTCGACTGTATATATTAAATTAGGAAAGTAATTCAACTAGATCAAGCTCCCACTTTATTACACTTGATTTCTGTTAGCAACTCTTGATAAATTATAGTAAATAGATTACATCATAATTAAAAAGTACATTTGACGAGTTATTCATTAGACGTTCATACTACTTTACAGGTTCAGTGGTCTAATTATTATTATTTTTTTGTTTTCTCTTTATCTCACTTCCTTGTAACTATACTGATGCTGTGTTAATGTCGGTGATGATTAAATGGAATCTAGGCATTATTTAATTAAGCAAATTAATTAGATTACAGTTTTCATATGTTTACATCCGTTTACTGATATTATATCAAAGATCAAAAGTAATTGCTTCTTTTATCATTTAACATAGATGTACTTATGAAAAAAACGATCAATAATCCATGTAAAAATTTGTTGCATGAGCACTTTTACTAGTTTTGTCGGAGAAAACTCGTTTGATAACAGTCACTCATGAAAGCTGACATAAAAGTGAACAATCATTTTGTGCATTTAATAACAACCATATCGTAAGTCAAACCCTTTATTGTCTGGTAACAACGACCAGTAAATGTTAACCATCTCAAAAGTATGGTAATTATCACTTATGACATTCAATATTAATCATGAGATATTGCAAACCGATTTGAAGCTGAAAACTGAACTACGAGATTACCATGCAACGGTTTAATAATTTCATGGTTTATTTTAAACTGCTCGGTGTACGTTACTTAATAACCTGAAATTTTTATTCAGTTATTTATGGTTTTCACTAAAATTTTAGCAATTACTAGTCTATAAGAACATAATATTTTATCTCTATGACGTTGATGTTTATACATCTAAAAGGCATTGTTAAATTTTTTTTCTGTACACTATCTAACGTAAAGACGGAAAACGACTAGAAGAACTGTTTGTCACAAATAACTTACAAACATTACAAAAATGATTTCACTCATGGAATAAATTTTTCTCAATTAACATTTTAAAAAACGAAACGAAGATTTCTTTCAAAGTGTAAAAAGGAAGTTGAATGAAGGATCCGTTTCTGAGCACTTCCGGGTAAATCTATCATCATTAAAATTAAATATGATAATTTGGAAAAGAAATCAGGTTTCTCAAATGAGTTCGTATTGTGAAACAACATTATTCAGACAACTATTGATCAGTTCATTCATTAAATGTATATGACGCTATACAAACATCTTCCATTATATGGATTTTAAGATAGACGCCAATGCTTTACATTTAGTTGAAAATTTCTCTACTGTTTAACTGATTGTTTGAAATGACAGATACTTTAGTTATTTGTAAATAAAATTTAACCAAGCATCTATAAGATTTTATTATCTATGAAGTCACAAGTTATTATTTAGTAAGGCAATTTAACGAAACTTAGATTGATTTGAATAATTTTGATGATGATGTCATAAGTGGATAGCTAACATTTGTGATCAAATTCTTACACACTTATAGTATATCTAGATTTTCATTTTTATTTACCAAATGTTGAATAATTACATTCACAACCTTGTAAGTAAAGAAAAATTACCGGAAGTTACAGATATTAAAAATTAAATTTTTAACTTACCCAAAGTGTAGCTGTGAATATTTGCTTTCCAGTTAATAATATGTCCATGAGAAAAGTGTGTAAAACAGTAGAATATTATCAGACTATACAACGTTTGGGATTTCCAAAATTTTGTAGTTCCTTTGTAGAGATAAACGAAAACTTGTGATGAATATGTTGTAGAATAATAAAGATAACAAAAAATTCAACGATAATGGTAAAGGTAATATAAAATTCAGTGCTTGCCTAAGTTAATTGAGATTACTTCAGGCTGCCGAACCAAATGTTTGAGCCATCTACTTCTTAACTGCACAAATGTTCCAGTAAACTAATCTGTTTTAGACTTGTTTGAACTGGATAATTATAGAAGGTAACTGTGCTTACTCACACTTTATTATAATTTTTTGTAACCTTAGTCACTTGAAAATCCATACACAAACTCTTCAGTTTTTAGCATATTTTTCTTTTTATTTATCTTTTAAAAAAAACGAGGGAATAATTTGTTGGAATGTCATAGTTCTATATTTATAGTTGAGAGGCTGTCAGGAAACCTCGATCATCGTATACCAGTGCCAGACACTGATTTTTGGAAATATTTTCAAACATATAATTTCAAAGGTTATAATTCCAATATTTGTTGAAAAAATAATTGTTAGAATACTTGACAGTTTGTGATGAAAATAACTTAACGTACCCAGATTTATGGTACATTTGTTGTCATTAGATATTAAAACTCTACGTCACCTGAAAAACACGAGACTTTAGACTTTGTTACTTCTTTGACATAATGATAATTGGTGTCTTAAATCTGTTTGGTATGATGTATTAATTGAGATTTCGTACTTTCTTTCAGTCGTAAAAATGCCCAGCTTTATTTGAATATTTAATATTTCTGTTTAATATAAAATGGCTTCTGGCCTATGAAGACAAATAAGCTTCAATAATCTATAAAAGTTGTATTTCCTATAATTTCTGAATAGTAGAATATCAGAAATCTATGATGTTCTCAAACATCATCAAATTCGATAAACCTATTTTAGACTGTAATTCCAAAGAATTATGTAAATTCCAAATTGAACTGGATGATTTTCGAGGAAAGAGTGAAAATTGACTACGTTAAATAACATGAAAATTTATTTTAAATGTCCAAATGTTTAGGATTTTAAAAATTTTCATTTTTGTATATACATTAATAATAAAATAATAGATTAATTCAACAACATATCAGGAGAAGAAATAAACAGATTATGATTTAATAACAAATAGCAAATATATGTGTTAATCAGAACAAACAATTATTGAAGTTAGAAAAGAAAGAGTCATAAAATAAAACGGCTTCTTTTTGTTCAATACTGTTAAGTGCTCCTTAAAGACAATATTTTTCTGACAGAATGGTTTTATCACAAGGTGTGTCTTCTATTCAGTGTCATAACAAATGCTCCGGTGGTTTTTACAATAAAAACCTTTGTTTTTATTTTTTTTCCTGGTCGAAAATTATTTCAAATTTTTATTTGGTATTGATTTTAGCCTTTCACATCCTAATAATAAATGAAAAACTGTTTAATTAGGCATATATATATGTATATATCATCAGTCTCAATAAAAATGAAGTTCCCTGTGAATTTGGATCTGCTGCTCATGATTACTAACTTATTTTCCACTTTTAAAATCCACAACTATGAGACCAAAGTTTTGTTATTAATGTTCAATGACATAAAAAGCTATATTTTCGTGTAAAGGAATAAGGTAAAGCAAAATATGAAAAGAAATTCTATTTCACTTTCCACTTAAAGCAGTGTTCTGCTTTTATATATAATCTAAAAGTGATTTTACCTCATTGAAATCTATTTGAACAGATTAAAATGAAATTCATATAAGAAAAGAAAATTATGTTTCGTGTGTTCCGGCATCTTCAGAACAATAATTTTATAAAATTATGATTATCATCATTACATCTACCAACATTCTGATTGATAGGTTATTCTCAAACTAATATATTTTTCTTGCTGTAATGATCATCTATCGTGAATGGTGAAAATGAAGATGCTTAAAATCTACTTCTAAATGGTTAAATAATAATTCATTAACTAATATATATATATATATATATATATATATATATATATAAAGATATATCAGTATAGTCTCTTTAATCAGTTAGAATTATATAAAAGATGTTATCTTTAAACAATATAGCTAGTTAAAAAATGCTTCTCGAAAGAATAATTGATTCTGTATAGTTTATTTTTAATAATAAAAATAATAATAACCATATCTCCAATTAAAAAAAGGTTTTCTGTATACCAATTAACTTCAAGTTACTGATATTCACTAAAAGTAGTTATATGAACCATGCACTAATTATTACGTGAGTATGACCTACATACTATAGATATTGCATATCACTGCATGGTAAATATTTAAACTGTCGGTTTTAAAATTCCAAAACGACATTCTTTCATACATGCACATTTGCACGGAACTTTTTGATGATCAGAATTCTGTTTTACAACCGAAAGAAAGCTTACGGTTTCATTCTTAATTTAATATTAATTATACAGGTAATTTATAGCTGACATAAGCTTGTTTAAATGGTTCTCTCTCATAATCCGTATAAATTGAGTATAAACGGAAAATACCATTATTTTGTGAGATAATTTTTGATGAGTATTTTAAACTGTTTAATAACAGAACCTTTAGGCGGTAGTAACTGTCTTACTGAAACCATAGGAAGCAATAAGAACACAATATTGGACATTAATCGGTCAAAACTAACCGCTAAAATCAATATGTAATTTTAACTTTACCAATAATTCAGTATATATTAGAAATCAAACTTTTTCTCAACAGTGTAAAATAGTTTTGAAAAGATCGGTGAGGTCCGGTGAAGTGAAGTAAATCAAGTCAAAAAAAGGTGTAATTTACAAACAATGTTGTCGTAAATTCCCCACATTATGTAACGTAGGAGAATAATATTACTGTTTGAAAATTTGGAAAAACATTCAACTGTATGGTTTGCTTTTACTGGCAGCGATAAAAGCATTAAATATTGCTTACTTTATTTATTGCTTAGTTTATTTCGAAAAAGACACTGTTTATATACGTGGAGTACTTTTCCATACTGAATATCTTTTGTTTTTAGGAAAACTTTTATTACAATTTAAACATATGAAAATATACAGTATCAAGTGCCTAAATGATATAAGCTTGGATAAATGTTTGTTTTTTGAAAACCAATCTATGATGATACTTTAAAATATACAGTTTCTACATTATTCTAATGTATGCTGATTAATTAGTTCTTTTAATTATGATACTTGAATAGTTGTCAATATTTTGTGCTTAACAGCAGTGGATACTTGTGATACAGAGGCTTCCATGTAATTCGATAGAAATGCAAAGAGAGATTCACATACTGAATTTGCTAAAGGAATGACTTTCATCTAACCAGTAGAGTGCTGTTTTTTGGTTAATTTATTATTAGAGTAGCTCACTGAGCATGCGTATTCTAACCACAATACAGCGTATGGGTTATGAGCATTTAAGTAGACAATACTTGCATGATTTTCTTTGAATTTTAGTTTCAGTAAATAGTTGTGTCAATCGAACAAGTAACATGGATTTGATCATTTTTAAATCGTACTAAAGCATTACCAAAATAATTTTGATGTGTGGGAAATATTTTCACAAGAAAATTAGTTTTATTTATTTATGAATGGGAATTGATATGTATTTTTTATAATGAATGAATAGATTTGTTATTCGAAGTAAAAATTGAGAATAATAACTACTATATAATCTACATTCGTGTGACAGTGAATGGAAAACGGTGTAACCTTTCGTACAATATTTTTTTATTAAGAACGATTTTTTGAATAATGTTGATTTATGAACGATGTGAATATTTCAAATTTGTAAATGGTTTGAAACTACAATATAAAAATCTTTTCTTCATGCACAAAACAGACAAATATTGTGTTTTTTATTTCGAGACTGTGTCTACTCTACGGTCACAGTAGTGCTTAATAATGCTTCAGTTAAAACTGCGATGTTTGTTTGGTGGTCTGAGTTTTAGGTAATGTAAACAAACGTATACTATATCGAAGAAAGCAAATATACCAAATGTTTAGTATGAATTGGAGAATGTTTTCAACTTTCAGTTATAGTGCTCATATGTTGTCGGATGTGAGCTCCAATGTTAATCAAAAAATGCTAGCAGATTTCACCAGAAAGTTGAAAAACGATTATGTCAATAATATATAATATATAATAATGTCAATATCACAGACAAGTTTTGCCCATCAATACATCCGTTCACAGTAATTTGGACTCTATGAGAACAATAAGATAAGTAGTTAAAATTTTGAACGAAATCCATTTAATTTGAAATGAAGGCATACGGCAAACCTTTTGATTGCATCCATACACCACACATCTAACAACCACATGATGCAGTGATGGGTGCCCCTAGGAAACGAGATACAATCTGTAGTACAAGGAATTTATACTTCAGCTTTCATTCAAGGTTATGTGTTACATGCTGAGAATGGCATAAGGAAGATGAAGATCACCTCATTTCAAAAAGACTGAAGATAAAAAATGTTCAGTGAAATCAGTATTAAAAGGTTGTTTTTCTCTAAAAAGAATGTTTTTTTCAAGACTAGCTGCATAAAACCTAGCACAATATATATCGGATTTGCAGCCTATAGAAAAGAATCCAGTTTCATAAAAATGAAGTCTTACATGTTGTATTGTTCGAAACAGAAGTGAAAGCTTTTTTGATACTTCTTATACGGCTATTCTTTACCGTCTTCATAAAAACCAACAGACTGAATTTTTGTCGTAAATAATGGAAATTTGCAAAAGTCAACTTAATGAATAGTTCACAATGTGTTGATAATCTTATATTAGTTACAGCAGTTCAAATAAAGTAATTAACAGTTCAGGAAACAGAAAATTACAAGATTTGGAAATTGTGTTTCAACAATTTTATGTTAAATACATACAGTATGAATGAGTTTTGTCTGAAATTCTTTTATAAAATGCATTTATGTTAATGGAAAAACATTATGCTATATTTTATAAAGAAAATTATCAAATTTTTACTTGATTTTTTTCATATCTAACCTAATATAAAACTC